TAAGGATCCCTTAAAGGAACCATTAAAGGAATCCTTTAAGGCTTTTTGGGAACCCAGCAAACCGCAGGAAGAGGCGCTCCAAGAAGCACCATCGACCAGCCGAGGGAGGGGAGGAAGCATTGGCAGGCCTTCCTGGGTTCAGGATTTAGGGGGATTAGGGGTTTTAGGGTTTAGGGCTTTGAGGGCTTTTAGGGGTTTAAGGGTTAGGGGTTAGGGTTTTAGGGTTTAGGGCTTTTAGGGGTTTAGGATTTAGGGGGATTAGGGTTTTAGGGGTTTGGGCTTTCGGGGGTTTAGGATTTAGGGTTTCGGGGTTAGGGTTTTAGGGTTTAGGGCTTTTAGGGGTTTAGGATTTAGGGGGATTAGGGTTTTAGGGTTTAGGGCTTTTAGGGGTTTAGGATTTAGGGTTTCGGGGTTAGGGTATTAGGGCTTAGGGTTTCTAGGGGTTTAGGGTTTAGGATGGTTGGTTTATGGGTTTAGGGGCTAGGGTTAGGAGTTTAGGGTTTAGGAATTAGGATTTAGGGGTTTACACTCTCGCAACTCGGACAATCCAGACGAGGTTCTTGATCAGGAACACAGCAATCTAGAGTACTCCCCTGTTGGCCAAAGAAAGACAGCGCCAACAGAGGGTAATGCCACTTAGGACTAGCCATCAGACAAGCACAAGAAGAGGCCCCGCACATTGGAAGGGCGAGAGGACCCTCGCATTCGCAGTAAAGACAACGCAACAAACGGTAAGGCCATGCAGGACAGAATGCAAGGATCCCTCAAAACGAACACAGAATATAGAATGACGGTGCATCACGCACAGGGGTCCATAGGACACAAAGAAGACATACTATACAAGTGAAACCAACATGCATGCAAAATTCGGCGATTTCCCGGGACGACTCTCATGTCTGGACAAAAACATGCAACGTTCTATACAGCACTCTGTACCATGCCTCACTTGCACACGTGTTCAGTGTTGGCCTGCGCCTGTAGTCTCAGACAACCTCACCATGCAGAGTGCCGTCCAGACACCGTGAAGGATCAGCCTTGAACATGTAGGGCCACACGTCCGACCAGCAGGTCGCAAATGTCACATCCGGCAAGACTCTCGTGACCCAGCAGTGTCCCAAGCCCCATGCGAATACAGCTTGTGCCAGCTTCGGGAGAGGCATTGTCGTGTTGCCCATGTGGCATAGCCAAGGCTGCATCGGTCAGTGATCGCATCGATGCACCGAAAAACCACTCGGCAGGAGACAAGCAGGAGCTACGCAAGTCATCGGGGCTGACACTCACCACCAGACGTAGCTTCAGGCACATCCGCAAGCCGTCGGTCCGAGCAGTCCCACACAAGCACAGAGCATCTGACCACCAGCGAAGCCACGAGGCATACACCAGAAAAAGCGCTGGAAACCCCACTCCGGAAGTCCCAAACGTGGCCTGGCTTGCTCGACTTTGGCCACACTTCAAAAGCCTTGTTCATATGGACTCGAGCGCTCTAGGGCTCAGTGACTGCCCGTGAAGGAAAGGCAGTGTGGTGCCAGTCTGGTTCAGGTGGCCACATCAGTTGTCAGCAGCATCAGTTGTCAGCAGTACATCCACAGAGCCCTTGGAACGACGCGTGGGAGGATGCCCAGTCGGGCGTTCACCAGATCAGCTGGACAGGGACTGCTATGGCATCCATGGCATCCCAGCACGGGCGAGGGTTAGTGATTTGCCTTGAGGTCCTTTCTTCCTTTCCCCCGCGGGCGCAAAGGGCCCAAAGAAAAAGGGTTTAGGGCAGAGAAGCGGACAAGCAGAAAGGTAGAAGCATAAGCAAAGACAAGCAGACAACGGGAAGCAAACAAAAACAGGCAAAAAGCTGAGAAGCACAAAAGCGTAAAGACACTAGCAAAAAATGGACAAGACCCCACACAAAAAAATGCCCACAGATGCAAAACAAACACAAAATAAACACCATCCCCTGGAAAGACATGCCGTATTTTTTTCGCGCGCAGAGCCTTCTTTCCCCCCGACTCAATTTCTGAATTCGCGCGCAGGGACAACATGCGGGGCCCCCGCCGCAACCTTGTTGCGGTGTGTGCCGCAGCGGCTGGCATTGGGCGCCCACCGCTTGGCAGCCTGCCAAGGCTGCCAGCGTGCTGCTGCCCCCGACTCCATCGCCACCAGCACGCCTGCTGCATGTTCTGTCACTTCGAGGCTCGCTGACTTGTCATACAGCCCGTGGGTGTTTGTTCATGCCACATCCTCGTCCCCACAGGGTTAGGAGTTTAGGGTTAAGGGTTTAGGGTTTGCGGCTGCCAGGGTTGTGACCGCTCCATCAGGGCTTTAAGCGCCGCAGTGACGAAGTCTATGGCGTAACCCCAACTCTGTTGCGTATTTGAAGCCAGCTGCGGGCTGACCCGTCCTTTGAAGGGTTGAGTTCGGGCTTCCACGAGCCTAAGAGTGCTGCGAAGCCTTCTCTCCTCATGGCTCTGTCCAGTCCCCGCGGCATGAGAGGACCTTCTGAGAGAAGGGGAGCTGCCAAGCGTTCTTTCCCCCTTCGCCGGCGAGAGCCGACCTCCTTTGACAAACCAATCCTCAGCTGTCCAACTCCATGCTGGCCACTTGGCCTCCACAGTGTCAAAAGCAGAGAAATCACGGTCACCCGTTCCTGTGACAAAGAACTTAGCTGACTTCTGAACCACTCGAAAAAAGTTGAACTTTTAGCCTCATTATTGTAGTTCATACAGGGGGGTTGGGGCTTTTACGGTTTTGGCGCTCGCATTTGGACTCCAGGCGAGGCATGTGGTTCGCGGTCTGATGAGTGAAACTATACGCAAGCGCTGATTCAATCACAAAGAGCCCCTAGGCAAACAGCTTCAACCAAAAACTCTACAGACGATCTAGACGGTTTAGGGTTGTGGGTTGAAGGTTGAGGGTTTGGGGTGTTGGAGCTTGGGGTAGGGGCTCGGGGTTCGGGTTTTTTGGGGGGGTCCTAGCTCAGGATTTAGGGGGGCGTCTCCCTCTTTGGCTTAGGTTCTGTGGTTTGCGAGGAGCGTGGCTCAGTGTGGTTGCAAAGAGCTTCAAGCTGCTTTTTGCTGGGCTCACTGAGTCCGGTTGTGTCAGCTGCTGTTGGGAGGGGTTCCTGGGCTTTTAGGCTTTTAGGCAGTCCCCAAGCGCATTGTTGATGGCTTGTGGAGCGGGGATCGAGATTCAGGACTCGGAGCTCGGTTTGGAAAGTCTTCAGGCTTTGAAGAGTGTAGTTGAATCGGCTTAGGGTGTAAGGGGCGAATACGGCCGTGTGGGCTGCATGGCTGAGTGCTTGAGGGTTTTGGGGCGTCGACACGAGCTTTAGTAAAGCCACCAGACGAAAACCTCACTCCCCGTTTGCAGCCAGCCTGCAACGCCTCTATACCTCTGAACCTCAATTCCAGAAAAAACGTCACCCGTTATCGCTACCGTTAGCCGCCAAGAGCACCACGATACGCATCAAGCAAGAGCAACATGTCTTATCTTCGGGGGCCCGGTAAACAGCAACAACCCCTCGACCTCAAACTCAGATCTAACCCTTGCCAAACACCACCTTCAACGCATATGCAATCCGTACAATACCAAATCTTACAGAACCCTCTAAACTCTAAACAAAGCCTGCACTCGGGGCGTTGAGCCTGGATTACCCGGCATAAACACATTCGTGTACTTGGCATCTACCTCAAAAACCTCATTCGACTGAGTTCTTTATGAAAGCCCCCCAAAAGAAGCAACCAACCCCCCTCTGAGGACTTCCTCTTCGGCCCTAAACCCTCTCTCTCTCTCTCTCTCTCTCTCTCTCTCTCTCTCTCTCTCTCTCTCTCTCTCTCAGGCACTTTTAGGACCCTAAACCCCTAAACCCTTCCTCTTCGGCCCAGCTTCACAAGGAGTCGAAGCCCTGTAAAGAGTCGCAAAGTGCGCACCATACGGATTGCGCGGAGCGCCTGAGGCAGTGGGCGGGCCCCAGAGATCCCAATGAGGGTTTAGGGTTTAGGGTTCCTCTTTGGGGTTTAGGGTTAAGGGTTTAGGGTTTAGGGTTTAGGGCATAGGGCCCACTATAGGGATCTATATGGGTACTATAATACGGCCTAGGGTGAGGGCTTTAGGGTTCCCAGAGAGCCCAAGGGGCCCCTTAATTCAGGAATATACCTAGGGTTCCTTTAAAAGGGGTCTAAAAGGGATCTATAGGGATTAGGGTTTCCGATACCCCCTTAATTAAGGAATATACCTTAAACCATAATATTAATGCCCCTATACTTTTAGGCATATAATGTGAAGCCCTATATAGTTTAAGCCATATTCCTGAGCTAAGGGGTATTGGGTTCTCTGGGGCCAAGCTCTCGACTCAGACGGACTTCAGGTGTTTCGGGGCTTTTAAGGCTTGTGGACTGATAGGGTTTAGGAGTTTAGGGTTTAGGGCTTCTAGGGGTTTAGGGTTTAGGATGGTTGGTTTATGGGTTTAGGGGCTAGGGTTAGGAGTTTAGGGACTAGGACTAGGACTTAGGGCTTAGGGTTTTCAGCACTCACACTCGGACATGCCTAGGCGAGGTTCTGGCTTAGGGTTTTAGGGCTTCGGGGTTCGGCTCTGCAAGACTCTCCAAACGAGGCAGGTGGCTTTTTGTGCACTTCACGAAACATGGGCCTGCCTTCAGCGCCCGCACGAGCCGTAGCAAGACAATGTTCTTGTGCTCTCCTGGCGGTTGGGGTCTTCTGGGGCCCAGAAGCCTGAATACAAGGGCCTTAATAATTAGAAAATGGTTTTGTGCCATTGTACTGTAAGCATAATGAGGAACCCTCAAAGTAGTACGAAAGGCGAACCCCACGCCGCGATTCGACCGAGACTGTCTGCATGGTTCTTTGTAGGGAATGGGGGAATGGGTTATTGGGACTACTACAAGGGACCTTAAGGGACGTTCATAAGGTAAGTTCTTAATTCTTAAGACGTAACCCATGCTCATCTTCGCACGATGCGCCGGCCTCCCAGCCCCCCAGCAGAAGCCAAGGGCATGATGATATACCTCAGCCGATGCGTCTGCATTGAAACAGGCACGAGGCTTCAGGAGGATTGTAATTTTGGAGGAAGCACGCCTAGAAGTGAGGCCCCTCGTTGGGCCCGCCACAGAATCTTGAATCTAGATCACGACCGCCATCTACTCCATCCACCCAGAAGGAAATGGACCGCCCACGAAGGGCACGCACGTGCCGAAAATCCATAGTAGCCCCTTGAAGGGGGTTTGGGTTTTTGGGGTTCAGGACTCAGGACAGCTATCCTGCGCCCATCCCACAGTACCCCCGACAGTCTGACACTCGAAGCCCCAACCCTTCATCCCCGCAGAATCAGAGCATCGGCAGTCCCCTAGGTTGCCTTTGAAGCCATTCTCAGAGAGGCTGCATGTCAACAAAACCTGCAGCGACGAGGAAGAAGTCGAACCAGAACCTGTGGCAACAGAACCAAGCATGCCCACACTAAACCCCTCAAACTTCGGTTGCCATGATGGATGTAGCTTCTGTGACCATTCTCGCTCTTGTTCCTACTCCTGCATGACCATGACGTTTGCAGCCAGGAATTTGGGTGGCTCTATTACCTGCGGTTGGCACCATTGCTACTATTACTGTTGCCATCGGCAATGATGCTGCAACTGCCGCTGCTGTACTCCTAAAACTCCTACTGACTCCTGCTACTCCCACTGCTCCTACTTTTGTACTACTCCTACCCACTACATCACGCATAACACGACTACTACGCCTACTACGACTACTTCTTCTTCTACTACTACTACTGCTACTATTGCCACTGCTACAACGACTACGACTACGACTGCTACGCTAAACTACGACACTATCTGCAACGACATCTACGACTACTACGACTACAACGACCACGACGACGGCGACGGCTCCTACGACTACTACGACTACTACTCTTCTTGTGCTATTACTACTACTACTACGACGACGACTACTACTACTGTACTACTACGACGACGACTACGACTACGACGACTACTACTACCACTACTACTACGGTTGATGGTAAAAATCCTTCATTACCCATAATAAGGAATGTACCATCATTTCCATAGTTTAGGGTCTTTAAGGTAATGCAGGATTTATATCATCAACCGTACTACTCCCGCTGCTGGTACTATTGCGATGAGGACGGCTACGAGGATGTTGGAAAGCGAAAGCAAATTATTCTGACACTTTTGTCCGCCCGAAGGCTGCGTAGGGTGCGGAGTTTAAGGGGTTTCAGAGATTCTGGGCTGAGAGGATTGCTGGGGATTGGAATTTAATGAAAAATCTCACAAAAGGTCTTGATTAACAACTCGCCTCACAATCAGAAGTGTGGACTAGGCTCCTAAACCCGAGAAATACCAGAAAACCGCACACCTGCATAAACCTCAACCCCAAAACTGGCCAAGCAGCGCAAACTCCTTCATGAACGTTGCCCACTCAACAAAGGCGCGGAAGATCAGCCTCATGCTCATCAACTGGGGGTTTCCGAAAAAACTGGGGGTTTCCGAAAAATCGGGGTACCTTATTTTGGGGTTCTTCAAGAGAGAATCCTACTATTTCGGCACTCACTCTCGGACAAACCACAGCGAGAATCCTACTATAAATTTAGGGTATTATATTAGGGTGCCCTATTTTCGGAAACTCATCACATGAAACCCAATGAAATCACATACTATCAGCAGGGCTTGTTCGGGGGCTTTGTGCGGAATCGCGGGAAGCGTGCTAAGGATCTGGTAAGCACAATAACATGACAGCTGAGGGCCAACGCCCTGCAACTTAAACCCGTAGAACCCTCGAAAAAAAAACAGAAAGTGCCAGGATCTAAATGTCGACGTAGGGTCCTGACAGACAGGAGCCAGAAACGTAACATATTTGAAGCCCTAAACGCTGCCAAACGCTTGGATCATTACTTCCACTGCAGGCTGAGTCTGCCAACTCCAACCTACAGGAACGACCGCGTCGTTGTAGTAGCAGACGCAGTGGCAACGGGGCAAGGAGTAGTAGCAGGAAGAGTAGGAGTAGGAGTATAGGAGCAGTAGGAGTAGTAGGAGGAGTAGGAGGGAGGACTAGGACTCGGAGCAGGAGTAGGAGTAGGAGCTTACAGGGGCAGGAGCATGAGCAGGAGTACGAGTAGGAAAAAGGGGAGTGGTAGGAGGAATGGAAGTAGTAGGAGGGCTGGAAGTGGTAGGCGGAATGGAAGTAGTAGGAGGAATGCAAGTAGTAGGAGGAATGGGAGTAGTAGGAGTAGAAGTATCGCCCGAAACTCCAAAGCCACGTGGCTCCGCCAAGAAGATAAACACGAAGGCACTGTCGAGCGTCTCGAAGATCGGGCTGACCTTTTCGTGGCCCAGAGACTCCAAAACCCCTTAATTGTACCTTAAAGGGTTCCGTAAAGGGATCTATAAGGGTTCTATTTATTATAAGGGAAGTAAGGAATGAATATACCTTAAATCATAAAATGATCCCTAGTATGATTTAAGGCATATTCCTGAATTAAGGGATATGAGAAGGTCCGGGGGGTTACCGTCGACGGGTCATCTGTCTTCCTAATGCATGAAAGACTGCAAACACACCCAGATACAGACACACGCACACGCACACGCACACGCACACACACACACACAAACACACACACCCGTACCTACCTACCTACCTACCTACCTAGCCGCACCGTCAGAAAGCTGAGTCTGGAGGGAAGGAGAGCTAGAAACTAAAGCCACGGGAGAAACTAAAGCCACAGGAGGTGGCTGCATCTGCAAAGGGCATGTTTCCACCGGTCTCGCCTTCGTCCCCTGTAGTTCACTGATTGCTGCTACGACGGCATACTGCTACTCCTCTTCGAGCTGCCATTAGAGTACTACCACGACGTCTCACTACTCCTGCTGCTACTTCTCCTTCTCATGCTGCTACTGCTGCTGCTGCTGCTGCAACAACTACTATTACTACTACTACTACTACTACGACGACTACTGCTATGACTGCGACTGTGACCAAGACCGCGACTGCGACCAGGACCACGGCTATCACTACTTCTGTCTACTCCAACTGCTACTGCTACTTCTGCTCCTCCTCCGCCTCCTTCTCCCTACCCCTTTCTGCTGCAACTGCTCCTTTGTGCTTCTTATTTTGCATCTATGACTGTCGTGACTGTTGGCGCAGCTATGAACATTACCGGCGCAAGCATGGCGTTTCTCAGCAACTCCAGGCTTCTTTCCTTTAGGGGCTGAGCACCCTAGCCCCAATAAAAGGTCAACCTTTTGAATTATGGTAGGTGTATATAACCCAAAAAGATTACGGGTTACCTACACAGCGACTGATTTGTTTGCCCAGACATACATCGGCCCGGCCTGTTCGTACGGTATTGCCTCGCTAACCAGGCCGATCCTCGGATTTAGGGAAGCGACCGGAGCAGGGAGCTTGGGAAAACTTGTAGACAAGGCGTCCGAAGTTCGCGTAATACAGGGGCCTGCAGAATTAGAATAGGGTTCTGGGCCGCTCTCATGACGAGGAACCCTCGGGAACATTATTGGTAGTTCTTTCTGCTTCTATATTAGTTGTGGGCGCACTAGAACCAACATGTAGGAATAAACCCTGCGAAGTTGACTTCCAAGAGGGCGAGTCAGCATCATCGCAAGCAGAGGCGGATCGACACCCCCACAACACATTGAAGCAGCCGTATTACCTCAACAGTACTGGGAGGTTCATGGGTAGATATAAGTAGAGTTTTAAGTCCCCTAAGAGGGCTTATAGCTACAGTTGCCCTACTTTATAACCCCACATATAACTACCCATGAACCTCCAAGTAGTGTAGTAGACCCTGAAGAATAAATCTCAGTTTCTCCGGTAAGGCCCTTGCATACGAGGATCCCTATACACATGTAAAGCTTTCTTTTTGTAGGATGGTGTATTAATCAAGGGTCTACACAACTCCCGGACCTCCAAGGTGAGCTTAAGAAAGAAATTGCCACAAAAGGCCTGTTCTTGAAGCCAGAACCCCGATCCCCAGCCCTTGAACACTAACCATCACAAACCCCCAAACCCCAAAAGCTTGAACCCTAGACCCTGAACCCTAGCTCTCACCCCTAACCCTAACCCTAAATCCCAAACGCCAAAAGCTTGATCCCTAGACCCTGAACCCTAGCTCTCATCCCTAACCCTAACCCCTAAATCCCTAAATCCCAACACCCTAAAAGCCTGATCTCTAAACCCGGAAGCCCCAGAGCGGATACCCCGTATCCGAAGCCCTGAGACGCTGCAAACCCCGCTCTTCGTCATGGTTGGAACAAGAAGAATATAATAAAAAGCACTAATGGTAATGAATAATTATACTCTTCTTGTTTAAAAACTTTTAAAAAACAGGAATGGTAATAACGGTAGTAGTCTTTTAAAAGAACACAGGGTAGACGAGTCACCGCGTCCCAATGGCATTGCCCTCCAACTCTAACCTGATGGTCTTGAGTGGAAGGTTTGGGGTTTAAGGGCTAGGAGTTTCAAGGCTTGGAAGAACTACATAGTGACTACAAAAACTTTCGTACTGACAATAGCCGCCGTCGATTGCTGCGGCCTACGCAAACAACGAGGGTGTTAGCTTGCTTCATGATATCCGACGGCTGGCGCGATGGTTTTCGTAATTTTCGTATCACGCATGGTCTTCTTGTGCCTCCTGTCCAAGCCTTTTTACCCGGAAACCTTCAATCCTTTCTCGTTCCGATTTGTTCTGCTGATGGCCCTCCAAAGTGACCCTCATCATGGTGCTGTCTTCCATCTTCGCTCTTGTTGCCTACAAAAGTCATCCGAGCAGCTCCACCATCATGACCAAGGAATTCAGCACCACAAGTGTGGCAGCCAGGACATTGATCCAGCCTCGGGAGAGGACGACACTGCCCACTCTTGCTGCCCGAGGTCAAAGATAGTATGGGAACTGCATGCACGGTGATTGCGAAGCTTTCAAATAATTACGATGCTTTCGGGCTCTCCCTCTCTCTCGACACTCTCTCACTCTCTCACTTCTTCTCCCAGGCTTAAGGGGCGAGTTAAGTTTTCCGGGCACTCTCTCTCTCTCTCTCTCACCCACTCCGTCGCCTATGCAGAACACCGCGATTTCGCTCCCTGGCTACACCTATATATGTTAGTATGCAGTTTCCAGTAATCGCAATCGTCATCGCGATGGTAGCAGTAGCTGCAGCAGCAGCCACCCAGCAGCAGCAGTAGACACGGTGGAGGATTAGTAAGAGTGGTGGTATCGATCGCAGCAGTACAACAGTCACCATCAACTGACGACGATGATGATGATCCGGGCCAGTAGATTGCAACATGTCGGTTCTTGCCAAGCTCTCTCTCTCTCTCTCTCTCTCTCTCTCTCTCTCTCTGCCGATACATATCACAATTCTGGCGGGAGTGATGGCAATGGTGGCGGCCATGCGAAAAACGCGAGACTTAGAAGTATGCACCCACCTAGCCACCCCAAGGCTTGGACTGCGAACTCCCTTCAAACTCTTACCTCAGCACACTAAGCTTGAAACCTCAGATGCAGCAGAGCAACTGCGTGGTAATCGAACCCGGGACGGCTAAAAGGAACATGGGATGACCTTACCCCCTACAACACCACGAACCTCAATGACCGGAAGCGACTCAAGCTGTGCGGCAAGAAAGCCAAACAGTCGCCTACAGACCGGGTTACTCTGAGAGGGCTCCGACAAGACACCAACCCACTAGGCATGTAACTTGGGTTCTAAAGAAAGCTCAGCTATGGCTCGTTTCAGCTTGTCCATCACCTTCTCTTCCTTCTCCTCTTTCTTTCCTGCAGGCTTTGGGGTCTGGAGTTTAGCATGCGCAGGACCTTTGCATTTGGGGTCTAGGGTGTCGAGTTTGGGTCAAGCGGGGTGCAGGGCAGCGCATTTGGATTGAATTACAGACTACTTGGAGGTTCATGGGTAGTGATAAGTAGGGTTATAAGTCCCCGCTACTGGGGGCTTTTAATTAAGTTGGCTACCCCTACTTACAACCCCACTTATAACGACCCATAAACCTCCAGCGCTGCTGGATTGTAGGGAAGCTTTGAGCATTTCCGTCCTAACGAGGTCGTTAGCTCGACCAGATACTTGAAGCAAGCGGCAGAACCCCATAAGTACACCACAAATCGAAAAGAAACAGGGTTTCGGGTGTTTCCCTCAGGGTTTAGGGATAAAAGCGTAAGCTCGAGACGGTTGAGATGTTGAAATGGTCGGAGGTCAGGGCTGGCCAGGTTCGGCTTGTTACCTGAAATTTTACCTGCCTTTAACCTACAGTAGAAGCCGGCAAGTTGGAACATGGCTTTAGGAGGATTACTGCTAGGATCAATTATACTTTACCTTAAGGGCATGAGGAGTCTAATGTTCCAAGTTTCTGGCTTCTACCATAAGCCTTCTGCCGGCATCCATTCTCTCTCAGATTGCGCTGAGGGGGGCATTCACAACAACAGAGCCAACGGGACCACAGGTTAGGATTTGGATTAGGGTTCGAGTAAAGGGTCCTTTAATGGATTCTCTAGGGGTTCAACCATGATTCAGGTCGAAAGTTGCGCTCAAGCTCAAGGTTTAGGGCGATCTGGGAAGCAGGTCGAGGTCTAGCGAAGCAGAGTTTCTGAATCCTAAGTCAGAACCCAGACTCCTTATCAGGGTTTAGGGTTTGGCAGATTATTCTATAAACCCTCAATCCTAGACTCCTTATCAGGGTTTAGGGTTTTGGGGATGATTCTATGAACCCTCAACCCGGAAATCAAGCCCAACTCCAGGCATCCTTGCGAGAAGCCCAGGGACTTGACCTCAAGACGGTTTCGGGTTCAGCGGCCCACAGCGTTCACGGTTTAGGGTTTTTTTCCCTCTCGCATGGCTGGAGGCAATGTCCACAGGCGAGGTTACTGGGGGGCAAATGATTCATGCCAAGAACGCTTCCGGTTCAATTTGACAGTACCCTCATTTTTAATGGTTTAGGGTTTAGGGTTTAGGTTTAGGGTCTGAAGCCCTTCTTTTGGATGCTGAGGAGGTTGACCCAGGATGCTCACTGAAGCGGGTGATGGCCTTGAGTCCGAACCGTGACGGAACCCGGGCTGGGGTTTGCCGTGGTTGCGCTGGTGGTGGTGCTGGGTGACTGTTGTGGGTGGTGGTAGTCGGAGTGTTCCTATTCCTATTGCTGGTCGCTCTTTTTGCTTGTGTGCTTCTCGTTCTTCTCTTTTTTCTGCTTGATAATGTTGCTGCTGCTGGATTGAATTGTGCCAGCAACAAGATTGTGTACTATGATATGCTATGACGTACTATGATATACGATATTATACCGCATTAGACTAGAATATACTTCACTATAGTGTACTATAAGATGGAAAGGTGAGGCTCGCGAGCTCCGAGCGCCGCGCGGGGGTCGCTGCCATGGACGGCGAATGCAGGAGCTCGCCTGTTACAGTACTAGGTGTCGATTTCAACAATAGCTCGCCGTGTCTCTCTCGTTCTTGGAAACTGCACTTCTCTGCTGGACCATGGTCTTGGAAACGAAAACTCCGAGCTTGGGCACATGACATAGGATCTTGATGATTACACACGACACAGCTCCCACCACGTATACTACTCTCTATATTCTTCCGTCTAGGTCTGCGGCCCCTAGAGGACTATCGTTGTCACATCCTCACCCACAGATACTGGCTACGGTTATACTATACTGAACTTAGAACCCTAGCAAAAATGATGATTTTGGCTGTTTCTTAGGGATTATAATAACCAAATTCTAAGTACCCCTAAGGATAGGCTAACCCCGAAGCTTGCGGCTTCGAGGTCCGAAAACCCTAAAAACCCTACAAATCCTGTAAAACCCCTGAAACCCCAAAACAAACCCAAACCCTAAAAAACCCAACAACCTCTTAAACACACTAAAACCCAAGAAAAAAAAACACACACAAGACAAACCCTAAAAACCCTAGCAACCTCTTAGTAACTCTGCAGCGAGGCCTTTCAGCGAAGGACTGCTCGGGCCGACGACATCATGGTAGATATCCACGACGGGCGCTGAGTTCACCTCGAATGGCTGAGGGTTCAGGGTTTTGCTGCCTCCTACCTTCCGTTTATGGTTAGGGCTTAGGGTTTAAGGTTTAGGGGGTTAGGGTTTAGGGGTCGGGTTTCCCGTCAATGCTTTCTTTTTGACTCCTACCTAGCAAGGACGAACCCGCATTGCAGGTAAACAAACATCAAGGTTCAGGGTTTAGGGTTTAGGGGTAGGGTAACCGGGTTTGTGGTCTACTGGTGGGGTTCCATAAGGGCTCAGTTGACAGCCCACCAGGCTCGAGCGCTGTTCATGTTGTCCCGGAAAAGACAAGCCGGCCTCGGAGGTTTTTGAGCCTGGGATTTCCCGCCCAGGACTGCCCTTTTACACCCTAAACCCTCTGAACAGTCAACCGTAAGCCCAAACCTGGAGGAACAGCGCCTGACAGCCCTCACAGACCAACGTTCTCCAAGGGCCCGCCCTTTGAGAGTTTCCAAAGATGGGCGGACCCTCAGATAGCACCCTAAATAGTAGGATCCTTTTCATAAGGACCCCAAGATAGGGTAGCCCTAATTCTCAGAAACTCTAAACCCTTATAGAGCCCTTCAAAGACCCCTTATCGCTACCCTTTAAAGGAACCCTTATAGTACCCTTTTCAATCCCCTGGCTCTCCATTTGCTCCAAGCAAGTTTGGTTCCCCTGACATGCGGACTGTGAACAACTCGACCCCTCTTCGTGCAGTCCCCCACGACCAAACCCAAAGCCATTGAGCGTCTCAAGCCCAACATAAACGCTAGCAACAGTATGTGACAACTGTGAAAATCCGATCTTACACTCACTAACTCCCTTTTCCCCCGACAGAAAAACGGGCACGCATGCATCTCCCAGCGTGCATGCACTCAGGGACGAAGTGGAACCAACTTACTGCTGCGGCTCCAAATCCTGTCCCGGCCCCCCAAGGGCTCCCGGCCGTTTCCATGGAATGGTGGTTGATGCTCGAGCGCACGGACATCTGCGCGGTTTGGGCTGGTGCTTCGGTCTAGGGATAAAAGCTTAAGGCTTAGGGGCTAAAGGATCGGGGGACATGCCATGCTAAAAGGTTTTTCAGCCGGCAAGAAGATTCTTGGCAACGCGAAGGCTCTGGATACTTGAGTTGAGAAGTTCGGGCCTTCTACGGGTTTAGGTATGGAAGCTCCGGATAAAGGGCGTGCAAGGTCTCTCTGCTTTTGTGCAGGTTTTGTCCGTTTCGCATCATCCTTTTCTCCCTCCCACTGTCTCCGAAGCCTGGCAATCCGGGGCTTGAGTTTGGCATCTTCATGCTCTGCTTCGCTGGACTAAGTTGCCTGGTCGGAGCTCCACCCTGGACCCCTGCAGTGGGCCCTTGGCGTTTTCATGAATCAGCTCTGGAGCCCGAACGCTCTGAAGCTTAACGCCCTTAAACTTTGGACCCTGAAACCCTCAAGTCCCAAACCAGCCGCTTGCCGCCTTGAGCTCCTAGGCTCAAGTCTGAGCCCAACTGTCTTGAACCTTCATGAAGAACAAGGAATAGCATGTCGCTATACATACACCAAATAATGCTAATGTAAAGCACACATAAGAACATGGCTGCACATGCACACACGGGCTTCTGCACGCAATGTAAAGGTTTTAAAGTCCTCCCCCAAGCTCATCTTTGCAATACTTCAAATTATGCTGTTAATGCTCGTGCTCACTCCAACTCCCATTTCTACTGACTGCTCCTGCTCCGACTACTGCTGCTACAAGTACTTGCAATCATTGTTATTGTTATGTTTACTACTACTACTACTACTACTACTACTACTACTACTACTACTACTACTACTACTACTACTACTACTACTACTACTACTACTACTACTTCTACTCCTCTACTGCTACTACTGTCAACACTAGTACTAATACTCGTACCAATACTAATACGACTTGTAATCCTACCAATAACCAAATACTCCTACTACTGCTGGAACTAATACTTACGCTATGTGTTTTGCGAAACAGGTACTAATATTAATACTAACACCAATACTAACACGAATACGAATTCTAATACTACTATTATACTGACTTGGGTACGAGTACACATACGAATAGGACTCTCTCTCTCTGCCGTGCGCATACGAATACAAATATAAATTCTTCTCATACTAATACTAACATGCATTGAAACAAGGCGGACGATGCCTCGTTGGAGATGCTCGAAGCGGGGCTCTCTGCCTGCAATACTACGAACGTGCCTGAGGGGTTTGGGTGAAAAGGCATTAGGGTTATATTCCATTAGCCTGAGCTGAGCTCACGGAACATGTGCTGATGTTTCTGGGCCTTGAAATTCCCAGCTTTGCGGTCCACCAAACGGCGCACCGTAATCATCCTTGAGCTGAACCGCTTAAAAAGGCGCAGTTCCTGTTTCCCACTCCAAACTCAGAGACATCCGCCATGGGCCCGACCAGAACTTCCTCCTGTCCGAATGGCAGGAACTCAACCTTTGCCTTAGTGGCTGAGTTCATAAGCCCCCCAAAAGTGTACACTTTCAGTTTTATAGTGGGTAATATTACCCCAAAAAGTGTAAAGTGTATACACTCAGCTACTAAGTTGCTGTGTTGGGAAATGGAACATGATGTGTGACACGCCTTCTCTCGGAGTGCCAAGTGATGGCAGCAAGTAGTTATCAGCACCTTTGGAAAACCTGCCTTGACTCCGAAGAGTTGGAAGGTTAGTAACCACCCACAACGCGTGGTCGGGGCTTTAGAGCTCAGGGTTTTGGGACATGTTGCTTCGGGCTACAGACTTGGAATCTCGGAATAGGACGAGATCCGTCCTGGAACCTCAATGCTGGAGCCTTCAAGTTCGGTGGAAGCATCGCCAGCTCTTGAGCGAACCCCTTTAAGAACCCGCTTCAAGCCCTCTTGAACCCTCTTAAATCTTATTGAAGCCGCGAGCCTCAAGGCCGTGAGTCTGGCCCGGCATCGGGTCCACGGACCTGGCGAAGGTTTTGGAGTTTAGGGTTTCGGCGTTCAGACTCGGACAATTCGGTTTAGGATTTAGGGCTTAGGGCCTATTCCAACTAGTAGGACGTCGTTACGAGGGTAGTGCTGCAGTTTTTGCACTTGTGAAAGTTGTGCCGGCTTCTACTTCTTCTTGTTGTTGTGGCTGTTGCTGATGTTGCTTGGTGCCGCCGAGATCGGGTACTGCCCACCCAATATAAGTCAGATTAAGGGCTATATACATTCATATGTACATATGTCTAGATGTACATATGTAGATATGGGTATGTGTATATATTTACTCATGTGTATATGTATATACGTATAATATGTGTATATGTATATGTGTTTACATATGTAAATGTCTTTTGTATATATTATAGACAAACTGTAAAAATACTGCACACATACTGCACGCATAATGGAAATGCACTGTAAATCTGCGATAGAGAAACTGTGACACGCTATAAATATATACTGTATGTACTACCTCATTGACACAGAGTGTGGGGGCAGTACCCAAGACACAGACCTTCAGAAAGCGCTGACCTGGCGAGAGGCCAGAACTCTTCAAGCGTGACGAACGTAAGCACATCACACTACATTATCTTGCAACGTATTATAGCAGGTTATATGATATAACCTCCATCATCTACTAGAACCTCATAATACATTACATTACGTTACGTTATACTTTCTCATGTCAGACCATCTCGTATTGCATTATATCGTGTGTTAAATTAGAAAGTGCTGCCGATACACCGCACGCCCCGAACCCCGCAGTCTTTATATTGACTATGAGTAACTTAAGGAATAACAAGGGCCCCCTTTCTTTGTTATGGAGTAGTTCTATACCGCACCTTAGACTCGCAGACCACAAAAAAAAAACGAGAAAACAAGTGCCCACTGGGAGACCTAGTAGTAGAAGGGAAACAGGCTTCCCCTTCTTACAAGATGGAACCTTAAAAGGTAAAGGTCCCCACGGGAGACCTTCCCCTTCTGGTATGGGACAGTCTAGAGGAAGCATGTGGTTCGAGGTCTGCTAACATGCCGTGAGACTTCACTAGTGCGAGCTCTCAACAGTGCGACAACACTTACAGTAAGAAGTAAACCTAGGGAGGTGACGAACCTTAGCCACAAAAATTGACCTGGCAGAAGAAACAAGTCTCCCTGTGGCTCGGATGCGCTGAGCCTCTGCAAGTCGAGAACCCAAGGTTGAAGACGCTCTCAACAAGAATGATGAAAGAAAGAAACTACTTGTTCAGGCCACTATAGCATGCTCATTTGGGATTCTCAACTTCAGCATAAGTTGCCGAGACCTCCCACGAAGAAACTGGTCCAAAGCTGGTCAAAACCTGACAAAGCATCGAAAAGTCCTACACGGAGCATCCCCCGCACTTGGAGACTTAGAGCCCTCACATGTACCCCGGAGCTCGCTGAAACGCACTGCAAGACATCGGCTGGGGTGGCTCCGGCAGCAATGCCACTGTCTTCTGTGTCCTGGCGTCGAACCTTCGTGGAATGCTGGCTGCGCAAACACCGAAGCTCATGAAGATTCGGTCTTTAAGTTGGAAGGCCGTACTTGGAGGTTCATGGGTAGTTGCAAATGGGGTCAGAAGTAGAGTACTATGATTATAACTGCTATTACGGGGCTTATTACCGCAGTTATAACTACCCATGAACCTCCAAGTACTTAGACTCGGCGTTCTCACCTTTTAAGACGTCTTGTTGAGGCAGCGTATTCATTCTCAGGCACTACTCAAAACACTGCTGTGACCTCAGAGGATAGGAGTTAGGATTACGGGACCCTTGGGGATATAGACCCTCTCAATGACGTCCCTTTTTAAGAAAGCCCCAGAAGTAGGGGTAAGAAGGGTGACCTTAGAGGAGTAGAAAATGCAGCAGACTTCGTCGTCGTCGCACACTTTCCACAGCCTTGGCCTCCTTGCACGGCCCCCTTTATGAGGGCCCCAAGTCTTAGGGTTTAGAGTCTAGGGTTTGGGGTTATATGCTACACGCCGAACTCCGAAATTCCACCCACAAGCTTCAGGGGAGCCGTCGCTGTCAGAGGCGCGGGCGGGTGATCGCCTTCGCTCCGCCCTGCCGTCTCTTCCATCCTGCAAGGGAACCCCGTAGCTGAGGAAACCCTTCAAAGGAACCCTTGAAAGGAGCCCAAAAGCTAAAGGGACCCTTTAACGGGGCCTAGGGTCCCTTTAAAGGAGCTTAGGGTTACTTTCCGGGTTCCCTAAGGGAAGTCATTAAAGGAACCCCTTCAAAGGAACCCTTTAAAGGAGCCCCTAAGCTAAAGGAACCCGTTAAAGGAGCCCCCTGATAAGGAACCCTCAAAAGGAAACTGCTAAGGGAAAACCTCAAGGAACCCCCTAATGGAAGCCTTTAGGAACCCTTAACGGAACCCTTTAAAGGGGGCCAGAGGGCGATGCTTATGTCTTGGGCTTACTTTGCGGACTTGAGGCTTGAGGCTCCATGATTTCGAACAGGGTTTAGGGTGTAGGGGTTTCGGCGCTCACACTCGGACAATCCAGGCGAGGCATATGGTTCTGAGAAGTTTTAGGGTTCAGGGGTTTAGGGATTCGGCGCTCACACTCAGACAAGTTTAGGGGAAAAGGGGTTTCGAGATTTAGAACCAGCTTTGGTATCAGTGGTTTCAGGTTGGCTTCATATTATCGGCATGTTCGGTGCATCTGACGAGTTTCAGTATAACAGCTCGGGGCTCGATGATAAGATATATGCACACAGGTTGGTGTTCGTGATTGTAAACCTTGGTAAACGCTACGGTAAAGTCAAGGTCATTTGCCCACCCCGCTAAACACATGTGCTAACTAATAGGATCTCATAGGGACCCGGGGGTAGGGGGAGGGGGGACCATAATAAGGACTTCAAAAGGCCTGATACGGAAGCATAGTCCCCTACCCCGCGTAGTGAACATAGGAAGGTACCTGAACCTACCCACCCCCCCTCCCCCTACCTTTTAAGGGTCCCTAGTGCCAACCCAGCGCCTGGCGAATGCGCTCCGCATCTCCATCATCAAGGATTCCTGCTGCGCCTGGACCAGTGGAAGGTGATCAGGGCCTATATAATGTAGGGGCCTTCATAACTAGAATAGGGTTCCTTTAAAGGGTTCCTTGAAAAGGTCTATAAGGAATCTACAATAGGGTTCTATAATGCCTTAATCATTAGAATAGGGTTTTGGGGCCACTATACTATACTTGTAAGGAACCCTCAAAACAGTATTGGTAACTAATCATTTAGGCCCTACATGAGAGCTGGATTGGGGAGCAACCTTGGCAAGGCTGATACGACAGGCGCGACGTCTAGATTTCAAGAGCAGCAATGTGCCGGTGTTGATTTTTTGAAGCTGAGAGCATGTGCGCATGCCACTTTCGCTCCTGCGGTTCGTGACACGTCTGTTTGGCTTTGTACCACTCTGCAGTCACTATAGTCACTACAGGGCATGCCAACACTAATTAATCACTGATCCCGAGAGACAGCTATGCAGCTTCAAGCAGGGGGCCTTCACCAACCGTTGAGTTCTTCTTCTGTTCAAATTATGAAAACCCGTGCGCACACGAAGCGCGAAGGCATGATTCAATGACATCCGCCACCAGCTTCACAGCGGCCGCGTTCAAGCAAAGTACTGGAAAGAGCGATTGACAGCACCCCCTTTGAACCCGTAGACATTAGAACGGCCACTCGGCCGGTGCGCTGTCCTAAAAAGCTTAAACCAACCCCAACCAACGTTCCCCGTCTCTGCAAAACGTCCGTCTGCACGCAACATCCTGAGCCCTTTTGGCCAGTCTACGACCCACAATCATCTTGACCCAGGCCGACATGCAGCACCGATACCCAACGCCGCCACCCTGAGCCCTCGAACCTGAACCCTAACTTGATTCTAAACCGGCAACTCTCAAATCCTCACTGAAGCCTGCCTCGCCTTCTTCGCAGGAATCTACAAATTCTGGATGTTTCGCGATCTCTGATGGCTTCTAGAGGGTTTGCCGGATACCAAAGAGATCCCGAAGAAGAAGTGAACTTCTGGGTACATCATGCTGTGTAGCTGTCTGGGTGCTACGTATGTTCTACAGCAGCTAAACAAGGACACATGGTGAATGATGCTGCGAAGAGGGGCCTTCAGAATCAGACTAGGAATTTGGGGGTGTCATTGGGTATCATTGTCGGGCAAGTATGATAGGGTAAACTACGGAATAATATTGGTAGATATTCAGGCTTCTGTATTAGATGCTGCTATGCGTGCCTGGAACAGCTTCATCAGCATATCTCGCTCCTCGGCCATCTCAGCCAGCAGCTGCTCCTCTTGGGTTTACCGTGCTGGCTGGGTTTAGGATTTCGGGGCGTAGGGTTTGTGCGATAGGGCTTTGGAGATTTGAGCGCGGAAAGGAGCATTAAGGCTTTGCGTTTCAGGGAGTTTTGGGTTTGGGAACAAGTGTTTGGGGTTTCAGTTTCTCCGATCATAGGGTTTGGCGTTGAGGGTCCTCGGCGCGTGTCATTGTCGAGCTTGAGCAGCTTTGGGACCCAGGGTGCAATTTAATATTGGCCAGAGCCCAGCACACTCGTAGAGACAGACATGAGTAAGGCAGCGATGGCTAACGGCTAACGATTAACATCGTCCGGTAAAGCAATCAAAAAAAAAGCCAGGAGGAACAGAATTAGTCAGAAGGTTTATCAACAAACTAGCTGATGGATCTATCGGGACTATTGGCCAATGGCTACGGAATGACGGTCATCAGAATAATATGAGGGCCTAGAATAGGGCCTCTCGGTACATTATACCAGGAAGTTGGGGAAAAAGGTATGTTTAAGACCGACGTACCAGGTGGGTTCTTTGCAACCGGATATATCGTCTATGAGTACCGCAGCATGAGCTTCTATGGGATCGCTGCAGGGCTTGGGGTATCCATTGAGGGTAGCTGAGGCACGAAAGTCTGAAGTGCGTTGCCACCAGACTTTGCTAGTGTTCTGGAATATCCTACGGGACTGTGCTGCAGCTTCTCTCCTGGTTCCTGCATGGACTTCGCACACTAGAAGGCCTGATTCAAAGGTTGTCGGCGGCGGCTGTATAAGGGCTACTATAACAGATCTATAAGGGTACTATAATACAGGGGCCCTAAAACTTACCTATACTATTTTGGGGGTTCCTTGGTCTAATTATCGTATAATATAAAACCCTATTCTTAATTTTGCACTGCCGGAAGGAGAAAATATACTACTTTGGTGGCCCTAAAAACTAAACCCTAAACCGAAACGCGACCTAAACCCGGCCCGCCTTCATCGCTGCCATCGGCCAGCTGCCCGAACACGGGCAGCAAGCGTGCTAAAAGTTTCTTCGTCGCTAAAGTACACTCTTCTAGAAATGTGTATATGTGTATATGTATATATACGGATCTGCTTGTTTAGTACTAGTATGGAAGATACCTTTTAATTCGGGCCCACAGATGTTTCATTTTGAAAAGGCCCAAATGAGGCTTTTGGCGCTCGCGCGAGACGAGCGCCTTAACGTTTTCGGCTCCAATGCCCTCGTACTGCCGTGGCTCTTCCGGACAGCCTCCACTTCCGCTTCTACGATGCTTCTTGCAAAAACACCAGCGGAAAGTTTTGAAGGCCAACGATGTCCATGTACTCGAGTATGTCACATCTTTACTACAACAGACCCCCGAACAATCTAATCTCTGCTGCAGGCATAAGCGTATCTTCTTCGAGGCACTGATCCGAAATTGACGGCGAGGCGAGGCAGCGGCCGAGAGACAGGGAATCCCTACTCGGAGGTTCATGGGTGGTTATAAGTGGGGTGATAAGTAGGTTAAGTATACTCAAAACGCCCATTTATAACTACCCATGAACCTCCAAGTATGGTGGGGACATTTTAAACCTCCTACTTCGCAAGGACGAGGCTCTTAGGGACTAGGCTTTTATAGTTAAGGGTTAAGTGGTTTAGTGGCATAGTGGTTTAGGGTTTAGGGTTAAGTGGTTTAGTGGTGTGGTGGTTGAGGGTTTAAGGTTTAGGGTGAATTGGTTTAGTGGTGTGGTGGTTTGGGGTTTATGCTTCGGGTTTAGGGTCTAGTGGTAATTCAAGGTAAAGTGGCCTTGAGAATTCGAACCGGGTGATTTTTCTAACGGTTCTAGAAGGGCTCAACAGGGTTGCTACCGGAGTGTTTGGTTTAGGGGCCTCAATAATTGGAACAGGGCACCGGGTGCATCTTCTAGAATAGTTATATATATATATATATATATACATATGCATACATACATACATGACGGGCCCTTAGAGAATTCCCAAAGCAAGCGAGAGCAGCTAGACCTCGTGACTGCCCGATGGATGAGGAGCTTTCTGGTGCTGGAACCCAGCAGCCTCAAAACCTAAATGCCTCGATTGAGGTTTAGGGTTTAGGGTCTAGGGGTTTAGGCTAAGGGGTTTAGGGGTTTATGGGTTTAGGGAGCCGACACTGGGCTGAAGTCAATGCCATGCCCTTGGCCTGCACCCCACATGCCCCGAACACAGCACCCTGACCTTCCAATATCCCTTCATTAAGGAAAATGCATTCAATCATAGTAGGGCTCCTATTATGGCATAAGGCATATTCCTTAATGAAGGGGTTTTTGGAGTCTCGGGACACCTGGAGAGGCGCCCACGTCCCACCGATTTTCATCCAGAAAGAGTCCAAGCCTGTTTTACATCTCGCGCCTTCCTATCCCAGAGGAACGTTTTTAAGGAGCCCTGCTCGAAATATGTCTACTACAGATCCCTTGCAGCAGCTTTGAAGGAACCCTCTAACGCAACCCCTCGGAAGGAACCCTGTTCTAATCATTTCAGCCCCAAGCCTTCAAACCCTAACGAACCCTATCAAAACCCTGTAGAGACCCATGGAAGCCCTCTAAAGGAACCCAATTATACTATACTATAGACTACACTACAGTCCTCTATAATATGCTATAGTCTACTATCATAATATGCAACATTTCATAGTAGGCTATGGTATACTGGAGTATATGATAAACCCGAAAAAGCCAAGGCCAGAGCAAGATGTTGGAGCACCAACTCCAAGAGCTCTGCCTGCGAGGCAGCCCAGGGTTCCGGGGCTAGGGCTTATGGGTTTACGGTTTAGGGTTTACGGTATTATAGTACATTTTAGTGCATGATAGCAAACTACGGTTTATTGTATTTGATGATGTCTTATAATCTATTGGAGTGTACTCTTGAATTGTGCTTATTGCGCGTTCGAGTACCCTGTACCCAGAGACTCCAAAACCCCTTGTATAATTCAGGGATGTGCTTCAAATCATGACAGGGTCCCTAACATAATATTTAAGGTAGATTCCTTAATTAAGCGATACTGGAAGGTGTGTGGGTAGTATCTGATGGCATACTACGGTATACAGTGTATACGAAAGTATACTATAGCATACTATAGAATATCATGGTATGTTGTAGTATAGCCTCCGGTATAGTATAGTCTATTCCTCAATCGCAAGTCGTCATATTCTTGACCCTCAACGCGAAGTTCTGAAGGCCATTCGACTAGGGCCGCTGAGTCGTGGTCTCCGGCCCCCGAATCCATGAGGTTCTGTTGTCTCAGATTTGGAGTTTTAAAATTAGCCTGTGAGGAGTTAGGATTTAGAGTTTAGGGGTTAGGGTGTTTGTGAGCCAGGGCGCAACTGACTACCATTGCTGCAGAGAGTGGTTGTGAAAGCATACGGAAAAATCTTGCCACACTTTCGCCGCCCTGACCCAGACACGTGCACTACAGGCTTCAGCTTCAAAAAACCCTCAGGCTCCGAAAGGGCTACTGTTACAGGGTACTACAGGGGGGTGTGCCCCAAGGGCTCTTTGGGGGATCTCTTGAGAAAGCTGTGTGGGCAAAATACTTTTTTTTGAAGACAAATGTGTCCTTCCAAGCTGCTCTGCTGGGTTCCATGGGGTTGGATGCCCAAGAATGTCGGGGCCTCAGCCTCAGCCTCAGCGTTTCTCTACAGGGTTCTGTAAGTGTTCGTTAGGATGTAAAGGCTTAGGGGCCCTGATAATTCGAATAAGGGTTCCTTGGTTGTTCTCAATTGAATTGTAACTCGCCATTAGCTGTTACGAACTAGCTCTGCATGCACTGCATGCACCACCACTGGGCTCGCCTGAGCAGCACGGCTGTTGCCGTCGTCCACCACCACGAGGGCTGCCTGCTCCTGGGGATACGAGTAGAAGCTAAAGATTAACATCCCCCGAATTCTGGATATGTTGCAGCTTTGAAGGCATGCTACTATCCTAGACTTACATTATACTTTGGTGTATACTAGTATACGATAGTATGTAATAGTGTCCTGCTACTGCCCAACACAGCCCCGACTTCTTGCCCGAAGTTCTCAGCCTTTTAGCCTTGAATCCCAGGCTCAACACCGAAAGCCTTGGCCGCTATAAACAGACTGCAGCATATCATACCATGTAGTATACTATTATATACCGTAGTAAACTATGATCGTAGACTACAGTATACTATAGAGTATGTACTACAGTATGCATTAGTATTCTAGAATGTACTCTAAATCTCCCAGCTCCTCCAGAAGCGATCGCCGCTGGGCCATGATGGAGGAATAGGCAGGCTCCGAAGAAACCTGCTCTTCGAGGCTCAGAGGAATTTGGGGCTTCAAGGCTTCTTTCCAAGGCTTGGGTTTAAAATTTTGAAAAATTGGGGTCTCGGCACTCACACTCGGACAAGAGCGAGGTTCGGGGAGCCTAGACGCCGGCGGTGAGACTCTTCGATTCTCAGAGAACCGGTTTGGGGTCTGGGGTTCAGGGCTTAGCTAGGTGTCGATTACAATAGTACCTACATGGGGTTTTTGGGATTGAGTCCCTGAACCTACAAGTGCCGGGCCGCTGTGGGCCTACACTTCCTTTGCTCATGAAAAGACTTGTGATATGGGAGGTTGCGATTGCGATAATAGGGGACCCTATTATCGCAGGATCCTTGTTTTAAGGACCTCTAAAAGCCCTGGCTAACCCCGCCTCCCATTTAAGATACCCAAGGTGGTTTATACCAGAACACTAGAGTACACTAAACTTTTTTGCTGCAGGCTTGCTTGCAAGGACGCCTGGAACCCTAAACCCGAAACCCAAACACCCGATTGCTGTCATATTCTGGATAAGCCCCCGCCACTTAAGGAATCCCTAAACGAGCTCTTAACGGACTCCCAAAAAAGGAAGCCTTAAAGGAATCCCTATATGTAGGAGCCTTGATAATTAGAATAGGGTTTGGGGGTACGTATATTTTGCTATAATTAAACTAAGGAACCCCCAAAATAGTATAGGTAATTATTGAGGCCCCTCTAGTAACGGTCCTCGAGCCAGCCCAACTGCAGATCCAGCGGGTGCAGGCCACTACGGAGAGCCCCAGAACGTCGGCCCTGCGGTGGGGGTGGTTTCGGGGCTTTCGGGGTTTAGGGTTTAGGGAGTCCGAGTGCCGCGGGGATTGCTGTTTCCTGCGCCTTCGAACTTATGGCACTCGGGTCGATAAGCTTTGAGTTCTAGACCGGGCAGGGGCTGAAGATGCAGGGAGGCCTGCATGTCTGCGGCCCCATGTCCGCTTACAAGTATGCTGTACTCTGCTACACTATACTATACTAAACTAAACCATATACTATTATACTATACTATATACTGTACTATATTCTACACTATGTTGCACTCCATCATTACATTCTGCTTTTGTCAGGCTTTCGTCTCGCCCTTCCTCGGCCGCCTTTGTTTAAGGCATCTTCACGGGCTTTTGCGACTGCTCCTTGGCGATCGCACGCAGGAATTCCCGCGTTTCCTGCTAAGATGGTGTGTACGGTGGCCTTCCTGGGTCTGACACGACGACCCTGCATATCTAGAAAACTAGGTGAGGCAAATGTCGTCCGTCATAGACCCAAGACTATGTAGGCGTTTGTTTTGCTTGTCGCCCTCGGCTTACCCACCTTTGGCTCAGCATCAGAGTTTGGCGAAGTCTCTTCCAGCCGCCAAAGCTAAAGAGTTCGCAGAGCTGAGTGGGGCGGTTTCTTCATAACTAGCGTACATACGTACATGTGTACATAACTGCATACACGCACATAAATCTATCTAAATATATATATATATATATACATATATATATATATATATATATATATATTTGTGTGTGTGTGTGCATGTAAGCATGTGCATAGTAAAAATATGTAAAAACATGTATATACATAGACACACATATGCGTAGATAAGTACGTACATACAAGTATGAATGAATATCTATATATCTATATATCTATATATATATATATATATATGTATATGTGTGTGCGCATGTGTACGTGGATGCAAGTATGCATGCATGTGCATGAGTGGATGCCAATACAAACATAAACACATACAAGAACAAATACGTGTATATTTAAATAATAAATACATATTATACATGTACATATGTTTCTAAGTATGTTTACGTACACATCAAATCCATCACTTCAGGGATGAACGCAGTAATACAGATGCCGGTGTGCCTACATACGAGCATGGCGCACAAGCACGCACACAAGCAAACAAACATGCATACTACATACACGCTTACATGAACTTAAAAGCAATCAGACGTACATACTTGCGCACATGCATACATACATGCCTTTTCCTTGCAGGTACTCTCAAATACAAACTCTGTACATGCATGCGAAAATGCACGATATGGTGTACGTTTGAGAGTCTTCCTCCTTCACTACGACTTCAACGGCTTCCAGCGGAGCTCTTGGCCTGGAGAGGTGAGGGGTTCCCTTCTGGTACGCCCAAGGAAAAGCAACGAAAAAAACACCCAAGCCAGAACCCTTGCTCCCTGGCTCTTGACGACTCGTGGCATAGGACGAAATACAGCAAGATCCCGCGTGACCGGTGTTTGTCTCTTTTGCGGCTTACAGAGCTGTGCCGAGTAAAAGCCTCCCCACCGCTCAAATTCAGAAATTCTTTGCACGCAGAAGCTAGGTGCAGATCAAGACATGCTTGCAGCAGGCATGGAATCTCACGATAGAGAGCCTCATGCTGAATGATTGCGGATGGCATGCCTACAGGCTACAGGCTCGAGTGCTTATCCAAGTTGATGCCCTGCCTCTGGTTTATCGGCTAAAAACTTGGTGATGTGGCGGGTCGGGCTTGCCACCGGAGCCCTTTGGAAGGCCAGACCATTCAGGTGGTCGTCGAAATTATGGTCCCTTTTAGGGTCCCTATTATAATACTGCACCTATTATTTAGGGTATCCAATGAGGACCATAATTTTGACAACCATTCAGGTAGACGGCGGAACCTAAGAAATTCCCCCCAAATATCAACCCTCACTCCGACATACCGATGTATCCCTTGCCGCAGGGAGATCCTAGACTTATCAGAAGTCTTGGTAGTATTAGTGGTATTGCAAGTATTTTACAGTATTACTAGTAATCGTAGTATTTTCAGAAGTCTTCGCATATTTGTAATTTCTGTTTAGTAGCAGGGGATTACTGAGAGACATGCTATACAAACTTGTAATACAAACTACTTTCCCCTGTCACCTACGGGGCAAGGATTTCTCTCAATCTGCCCTGCGCACCGCGATGCTGGCACAGTGCAGCCTGAACCGTGGCCCTTGAGAAACGGAGAGCATAGCGCTTAGGGCTTCTAGCCTACTTGTCGGGTATTGTGGGGAACTAAAGGTTAAGGTTAACCTTATTGCTTATATAGGGGTTATACAGGGGCTATACTACCCACAAGAGGTTACTACTAGCCCAGGGTTAATTGAGCGTTTCGACGCTCACACTCGCACAGGCAGGCAAGGCTCCACATAATTGAGCGTTTAGGGTTTGGAGCTAGGGAGAGCATATGATTCTTTCATTAAACTGATGAACATAGTCGAGACTCGACACATGGAAGATGGTGATGGCAATGATCTGTCACGACAAAATACGACAGATAGCTAACTAGAATGAAGCAGCAAGACCGCAGACAACTGAGAAGTACATAGTGTAGGGGCCCTTAATAATTAGAATAGGGTTTTGGAGTATAATATACTATGAATAACAGCAAAGGAACCCCCGAAATAGTGTAGGTAATTATTAAGGCCCCTATACTATCAACAGCCACGGTTCTTAGCCGCTGCACCCCGCCTGCTATGGACAAGCAGCGCCCTCTCGATCCAACTTGCCCTAGAGGGCCCTTAACAGTTTAGAGTTTAGGGAGGCTTTAGGGTTTAGGGCTTCTAACATGGCCCTTTGGGGGCATACTGCAGTACGGCTATGCAGGGAGTGTAGGAGTTCAGTGGGTCCCTGATTCAGGGCGCAAAGCCCTGAAGTCTCACCTGGCCTTCTGGATCTACTTGTCTGGTATCCTTTGGGAACCAAAAGTTAACCTAGAGGAGTATACTGAGATTCTATGGCAATTACACTATCCCTAAAAGGTTGAAGGCTACCTACTCGGATCTGAGGTTTGGGGCAGTCAAAGAAAGCGGATATCGAGGTCGCAAAGCGAATAAACGACTGACCCCACCAACTGAGCGATACTTTGCACGTCGCAGAAGCTGAAGCAGGAGCACTTTGGAGGCACCTGGCCTAGGTGATCGTGGAGAGTGTGTTCAGCGTTCCAATTCTAACACTCAGATACTTAGATGTCAAATCGGGTGTTCCTGACTCTTCAGCTGCTCATGACTGCACATGATCTTGGGATTGTTGAACATTACCACAATCAGCACCGCTGATCTTCACAACCAATTAATTACCTTCGTCGCTGCTATTACCTCCTGCCAGCCCGTACCGCCGTGGTGGCGACAGTCTGTTCCCCACATGAAGGCTCGTGCTTAGTGCCGGCTTGCCGTATGGAAGAGGTTTTGGCTCGCTCCGGCACCAAGATCGCATTCAATCACCTGCTCCAGGAGAGCTAGGATGTCAGCGCTGAGCACTGCCCCACCTAGTGTGACTGCTTCACGCCTCTGCGTTCACAGAAAATGATGTTGGCTGGGGCCATCGCATCGCAAAGACTATCCTCGCATGTAGGTTCAGGCTAAAGAACAGCGCCGCAGCGTGGGATTCGCAAGTGTATGGGATCCAAGATGTAGCAGCAGGCAATGCTCAGCTGCACAAATAAACAGAAGCAGAAGTAGAAACACTCTCAGAAAAGCCAAAGGGGTGGCCTAACCGCCTCACATCAAAGACTCAAGCCTGGCATTGGCGCTGGCCGGAGCGAGCTTCGGGGGCAAGCGGCGCTCAAAGCGAACGGCTATGATACTCGGCGATACTCGGCCACCGCTTCCTAGATCTGGCTCCCCAGCTGTAAACCTTGATGATAATACTAAGACTAGGAAAAACAATAACAACAACAACAACAACAATGATCTTGACAATAATAGCAACAATCGCACTAGAAATGGTTGTGCTAAACAGCAGTCTTCAGACCCAAACCTTACATTTCCGAAGCGGAAGAATGGCATGGGCTGAAAAGCAACAACGCTGCACCATCGTCTTTGCTCTTCTGAACCATGCGCCTGTCAAAACACATGTAGGATTACACAGAGTTACTCTCTGCTCGTGGCTGCTCGTGGTTCTTCCAGCCTCGCATATTGTGCTTGTATACAATTGCACTCATGCTGATGTCGATTTGTGTGCTGACTCTTCTGCTAAGAACATGTTTCATTCCACCTGCAAGCCTCGCGCATACTTGAAGCAAGAGCTGCTTTTCCTAACCTCAGCTACACAGCTCTCTTGCAGGACCAGCTCCGACTAGAGCCCTGAAAACTGTCACAAAGCCTAAGCAAGCGCACATACAGTAGTTGCCGTAGAAGACTCGTCGGTATACAGTACACATTGCTCATCATAAACATGGATAGTAACGTGGATCGTGGTCATACGAAGTTGCTTTCCGTCTTTGTTCAAGTGCATGCTCCTTCGGAGTACCAACTTCAAGCCACTACAGCACTAACGATTATGCTGCGAGTGGCAACGAGCATCTCCAGATCTCGCAACAGCAAGGGCCGTATGCCCGAACGTACTCAAATGGGGTCACCCCACTCGTCGTAGCGGACTTCTTTCTTAACCTCAGGACTCGATAAGATTCGGATGGGGGCCAGGGAGGAGGGCGGGTCACGGATTTTTATGAAGTCCAAGCCCAACTGCTGTGTGTCCCGCGACTGCACCAAACACACATCCGGCATGCAAATTCTGCAGGCTGTGGCCCCTGAACCTCATGACATAAGCCACCCGCCTCTTCTTCTTGCTCGACGCCTCGCAGCGCTTGGAAGAAAGGCTCGAAGCAAAGTCTGGAAGGTTTTGATAAACGTACTACTAAGAAAAAAAATAATATCAATCATGGTAGCTATCGAGATTTCCACGGTACGGTCTTCATCCTAGGGGGCTTGAATTCTCGGGTGTTGGGCCGAGGCAGCACATGGTGCAGAGGTGTTTAAGGTTGTCGCATTTATGGCACTAGGGGACCTGGCAAGTGTTGCATCAGTGAAGCATTAAGCTGGGGCTACACACCTTCCATCGTCCTCAATCTTCTGCGAAGGCCAAGGTTGCCGTCAAGTTTGCCAGAGATGCTGCATGTACAATCGGCTATTGACGGCTATTGATGATCATGCTACTGCATCTTCCCACATCTCGGTGTTTTGGGAGTGGTTCAGAACCGTGTAGTAGCAGTGTCGTCGAGCACGTGCTACACGTGAAAGCACTGCTTAAGTTCTGTGGAAAACCATAGCTGATGTTCATGTACTCACCAACCAGTATGGTAACGATATGGGGGCACTCTATCGTGCATCTGGTGGCAGCTGCTGCTGCGACTACAACTACTAGTACTGCTACCGCCCGTACTTCTCCTTTTGCTGCTACTACCACTGCCATCCCCTTACCGCTACCACTGCTGCCAGTGCCACTGCTGCCAGTGCCACTGCAACTCCACTGCCACTCCTCTATTCAGACTTGGAAAAGCACGCTCCCCTCCTCCCGGGCCTAGCCGCTGCCAGAGGAGCTCCTCGCGTTCCTTGTGCTCTTCCAAGGCAACCTCGAAAAGCTGAGGAACAAACGAACAAACAGGCTGTCGTCAAGGTGGTCGAGGTCGTCGTGGTCGTCGTGGTCGTCGTAGTACTAGTACTAGTACTAGGGATAGTACTGGTACTAGTACTAGTGTCTGTCGTAGTAGTCCGTCGTAGTACTACGATGTAGCAGTACACCGTAGTTCCATGTCGTAATACTACGACGTAGAAGTATGTCGTAGTAGATTTTTCACTCACCCGGCACACCGTCACAGTAGCAGCAGTAGTAGTTGCAGCAGCAGCAGCAGCAGTAGTAGCAACACTGAGAGCATCAACAGGCACAATAATCCGTACGTCTTCATGGCTGCGAGCATCACCAACATCAGGACTGAATATCATTATGGTGATTCTGGTCTTTCTGGACATTCTGGTCATCGTGGCTACCATCATTCACACCAACATGGTCCCTGTCGCCTGAACATGCCTCAACATCCGCAATGACGAATAGTCTTGGTCATGTGGCAGTCATTGTTACCATCATCGTTCTGGTTGCTATCAAGAGCAGAAGAACAATAACGGACGTAGGTTCCAGAAAAACACAAGGGTAGCTGGATGGCCTCACAAACCATAACGGTTGCGAGAGTCTGGAGCACCAGTTTTGGGACACTTTTCCGTCTTGCGAGGTCCTTCCACTGGGCGTATCGAGCAGAACTAACGGTATGGAGTTTGGAGGCTTCCTAATCGCAGTTACAGGCTGGTTTAAGCTGAGTGTGCGGGGTCAAGAGATGCAAAACTCCTTCACCCTTCGGATGGCCTAATCTCGAATCTCGGTTTACACTGACATAGACATGGGAATTGGGGGGGCAGAACCGGTGCATCATGCAGAATGGCGACTTGGAAAGAGAAGCTGACCCCAAAAGCCCCGAAACCGAAGACTCAACAACAGACACCTCTAAGAAACAGCCTGGACAAATAGATCTTTCTGTTCCTTAAGCCTCCCACTCCTGAACCGCAATCGATACCATTGTGATTACTATGGCTATTACTGTTCTTAGTATTACTATTTTTCGTATATAATTACTGCTATTACCCCCTTGAATCGACGCCACCCACCCAGCGAGCTTCGACAAGGAGCCGTCTGTGCCAGGACGTGGGTCTCTTTCAGCAGCTCCCGGAGATTCTCCGCGTCCTCCATACATTCGGGAACCCCTGTGCCGCCTATACTGTAGGATGCCTGTCATGTAGAGCCCGTTTCATCACTCACTCTCGGACAAGCCAGGCGACGTCTGTCCCGTTCAGGGTTTGGGGCTTGGGGGGAACTGCAGGACCCCTGAGGCGCGGTGCCCTGGTATCTCAGAAACTTCCACATGCTTCACTCCCCTGCTGCGCTCAAACGGAAGGAACTACGTAAGATCGAGGTGCTGCATGACATTTAGGAGACTCGAAACTTCAAGCTGTCTTCGCATTCACGAACCGGAAGCCCATAACTCCCAAACTGTAGACCCTAAACCCATGTAACCCGTATAGAACCCTTATAGTAACCCTCATGGAGAACGCCTACCGAACCCTTACTCACAGAACGGCTAAAGAATCCTTCCGAACCGTCATAGAACTCTCAAAAGCAAGCGTTGACCGTAATATAGGGGCCTTTATATATGACTAGAATAGGGTTTTGGGGCTCATTATTCTATAAGTATGTTACAGTCATAAGGAACCCCAAGATGGTATTGGTACTTATTAGGGCCCTGGTAGTACTCTTCTGATGCTGCCCCTTCTGCCTTGGTAGCCCGCTGCCCCAACTCCGCCACCTGCCCGACGGCTCGGGTTTTGGGTTTAGCGTTTAGGGTTCAGGGCTTAGGGCTTACACTCTCGCAACTCGGACTGCGCCAAACGAAGGGGTTAGAGTTTAGGGTTCAGGGTTTAAGGTTTCGTGTTTGCATAGGGTCTGGGTTCAGGGTTTACGGTTTCGAGTTTACATAGGGCTTGGGGGTTCTACTATGAAGCATGAATCCCGGCAGCTCCCATTGTGCGACCCCGAAAACAAGCAAGAGAAAAGCTGCGCAACACCTGACGGCGCTCCGTAGACGTCAGCCAAAAGAAACCTCAGGTTCAGGGTCCATTGGGGCGTTTAGAGTTTCGGAGTTCTTGCTAAGGGCTTCTGCTTAGGCACCCCCTTCCGAAATGCCTATACGAAAAGAGCCACGAGGGGGTTAGTAGTTTGGGGCTAAAGCTGACCACGTTCACGGCAAAGGGTGCAAGTTGGCTCACAGCTGCACAGGGGCTCACCGAGTTAGGAGTCCCCGGCCAGTATAACGACCCAGCAGCGCCGGAAACGTGCCAATGAAACTAACAAAACTAACAGCAACAACAAGGGCAAGCAATCACAATAACAAGGATAGATATACATGTCGCAAACGAGAAGCAATAAGACTAATGCTGGCAATAGCAAACATGCTGGCAGAAACAGTGCATGCCCGGGCACGGTCAAGGTGACCTTCTGCGTCCTGAGGCTTTTTGTGTCTAGGGTTCAAAATACGTCGAGAAAGACAGCTTCCCATTGATGCTTCCGTTATGTCTTTGGTTCCAGCTCTGGGTAGAGGTCCTTCCGGCCATGCCAGCAGTGCACTGCTTCTGTGCTATGAGGGCTACTAGCTCGCAGCTATCTGGAGAACGGAGGCCGTGAAGTTGATGTTGCACAGCATAGCACTTGGACAACAAGCTTCTTTGCGAACTCTTTGACACCAACTGCTTCATTCATGCCTGTCGTCATGACTAAGACACATGTTAACAGGTGCTGTCATCACAACTCCTGCAGCACAACTGCCAGAAGACACCAGCAGTGCTGGGCTCTAGCATCTCGAATGTCCCGAGAGACCGACACTGGCCGTGGCACAAGTAGCAACCCTACTGCGAGCTGGAGAAAGGCCAATACTTCCACACGCTAGCACTATGCTGGAATGACTTTAGGAACGCCAATGATTCTTAGGACAGCGGTGGCACGTCAGCAAGAGTAACATCGAGTTGTCATACTACTGGCAGCAGTGGCTGAGCAGCCCCCGCAACCACTAACACTGTAAGGGAAACCACAATACAAGAAATCATGTCCATCAAAATCATAGGCATGATGCTACAAACACCCCTCCCTTCAACAGCACAAGCCCCAAATAATCCCAGTTTGAGGTGAGCCCTTTGAAGACGAGTCCGAAAGCTACCGAGACTCCTCTGGCAGCGTGGCGACCTCCTGGAACATAGTCGTGCGTTAGGAGCCCACATCTTTTCGGTCTACGGGTTAGGGTGTAGAGGGTTTAGGAGCGGTGTAGGGTTTACGGTGTTGAGGGATCGGATGGTCTAGGGCTGCAGATTGTAGGAGCTTTTATGGTCCGGTTTTGCTTGCCCGCCACCGGGCAGGGCCAATGCCTACATAGGCTGAGAGTCGGATTCGAGGGTTTGGGAACCAAAGGAACCTCAACCCACCCAGAGATCCCAATACCCCTTAATTAAGGAATATACCTTAAATCATATGATTTAAGGTAGATTCCTTAATTAAGGGGTATTGGGATCTCTGGGCAGAAACATGAAGCGTAGTTTGGGCTTCAGGATCCGCGGGGGGCTTACTGCCGCGGTTCAGGCCTGAGACAGTGGGCCATTTTGAAGGCCCGGGGGTTTCGGCAGGATTGGTTCTCCGATCGGATCAGGTTTAGGGGTTCAGGGTTTAGGGTTTAGGGTCTTGGAGATGAAGGTTTCGGGATTCGGGCTTGCCTTTCCAATTTGCAATCGAGCTGCGCCTCCACAACTGGAACGTAAGATGTGTGTTTCACTTCCCGAGCTTCTCCAAAGGACCAAAGCCCCCAAAGACTCGGCAACTTCTTGCCTTACCTCTGGTTAGTAGGGAATGGAGGAATGGGGTACAATTATAACTACGATTACTACCAGTCTTTTCTTCCATTCCCTACTAACCAAATGTAAGTTGAGAGGTCAGCCACCCCAACTGAGCCCAAGGCTGTGGGAGCGTCGCGGGCCACTTGGAGGAGGTGCTGCATGGTTTCGGTTGCTGCCTGAGGCGGGAGTGCAGTTTCAACAAGACCTAGCCATCAATTATGCGATACTGCCATATATGGCCATAAAAGAATAAGACAACGGCTGTACTGCTACAGCTTCTATCTTGTCTAACCATTCCTAGCCTTTGGGCAAAATCCGAAAAAATCAAACCCTGCAGAACCTCAAAGAAAAACAACAAAGACCAACGCCCTTCAACCCAGAACACCATCGGCTCCAGACAGGTTGCAGGCCCTCTTTACTTCAAGGATGCTCAGAAAGGCAATTCTGAAGGACAGGGGGTCAACAGATTACGGTTCATCAGTCCATGGTGGGGATCGCACTCACAAAATTCACCTCTTCCTTCTTGGGCTGTAGCCCCCATGACTAACGCAAATTGCTACACAATGATTAAAAAACTGCTTCTAAGTACCCTGAGTGACGACAAAGTCATCTTCTAGGTTCCCAGACCTTCCAAAATCCTTTAATTCAGGAATATCCCTGAATCATATTACGGTTCCTAGTATAACTTAAGGTCTATTCCTTAATTATGGGATTTAAGGTTTATTCCTTAATTAAGGGATTTAAGGTTTATTCCTTAATTTAGGGATTTTGGAAGGTCTGGGTTACTGGAGTAGGGTTTCATGGCTCGGAGCTTGGAGCGGAGATCGAAGGCTCAAACTCGGTTTAGTGTTTAGAAACCCTTTTGGGAGTTTCCGAAAATAGGGGACCCTAATTAGTACCCTAGATAGTAGGATCCATATTCAATAAGGACCCTAAAACAGGGTACTCCTAATTTTCGGAAACTCCCTTTTAGTAAGCCTCAGGGAGGCCTTTCTGGGAACCCGTATGGAAGCCCTTGTCTGTTTGCAGTAGCCTTTCTAGTAACCCTGATAGTAACTCTACTGGAACCTCTTCTTCTTCACTTACAGCAACCCTAACATAACTATACTTATAGCTACTTATAACCCCAATTAAAGTACTTATAACCTTACTTACTACGTCCCATGACCCTTTAAGTGGAGCCTGGAGCCCCGGATGAAGAAAGGGCCCCGAAGTGCCTCGTCCAGACTCCCGAGATCCCGTCGCACGGCCTCGAGACTTGAGCTGTTTATAGAGTTTCAGAAGGCTTTATATCGGTATGGGGCTTTGTAGGGCTTGAAAGGGCTGGAGAAGGTTTTGTTACAGGAGTTTAATGACAGGGTTGCATGTTTATTTTGTTCAGGGTGTTCACCTATTCCTTTTTTTTTTTTTTTTCATCAGAATCCTAGGATGCAGAGTCTATGTTCTGGGGTCCGCCATTTTCGGAGGCTGTCATATAACGGCTTCGTCAAGGGACCCATAAGGGTAAGGGAGTTCGTGTAAGGGTCTTGGGTTCAACTCTCGGTGCGAGAGTAGAACATGTCAGCGGGCCAGGTGCGGGATGAAGCAATGCTTGAGTAGCCTTGTAGAAACCGTGAGAGTACCCGTATAGAGATGTTTAAAGAAAGCCTTATGGAAACCCTTACAATACCTTTACAGAAACCCTTCTAGAATTCCTTGTAGTACACCTTCTAGTACCCCTGTAGAAACCCTTGTAGCTCATAATTGCAGATTGGGCCTGCTCCTGTGCGACTGAGGTAGAGATCGCTGCCAAAGGTAAGGATGTCTTACGTCGGTTTGGAGGAAACTTAAGCAGCCGTCTATGACAAAATATGTTATATACTACAATATAAGATACTAACCGTATGCATAAACAAATGTGGTATACAACAAAATGAGAGTAAGAACTCGCTGCCCAAGTTGTGGCGTTGGGAAAACAAGGTGTGAAGGTGAGATTTTAATTCAAGCTCCAGGGACCTGGCACAGCTTGGTCCGTCTCATCTCCAGTACCACTCAAGATGAACCCATTTCGGATTGAAGAATTTGTTTAGCCCTGCAACACGAGGACCAAGGTCTGTCGATGGAGAGGTGTCGGATATGTACTGGAGATCGGGATGAACAGAAGAATCATTCATCAGGGCTCCTCATCATAATTATCAATTATCGTATGGATTCCTCCAGGGACTTGACATGCCATCAGCTCAAACACTGGATCATTGACTATAACTAGAATAAGGAACCCGCAAAATAGTATAGGTAATTATTAGGGCCTATTAGGGCCACTATGTTCTAGCTCCGTGCTGGAATTGGGACGAGGCTTCTGTGGCGCCATCAGTCTCGCTTCGTACTCCTACGAACCAAGACCCTACCCCGAAGTTCAAAACCGGAACCCTCAAAACCCTCAGCTTAACTTTGAGCCCGCAAGCCGTAATCCCAACCTCCAAAGTCCCTACCCTCAACCCTTCTAGAAACCAAATAAAGCCCGAGTAGAAGCCTTACAGCAAGCCTTATCGTAGAACCCCTATTGAAAACGAACGCAAGCCCTAAGACTGTCTACATTATCTTATAACTACAGAGAGACTAGAATAGAAGCCTCAAGTACTTCCTAGCAGACTGATACCCTACCCCCTTGTTTAGGATACCTAGTCTTATGGTTAGGATCTGTTGCATAGAACAGTAGATACCCCAAAAAAGGGGTATGGTATGAGGCTACGGCTACAGGTAACAGCTTATTGAAACCGCGCCTCCAGGGCCGGCCCGCGCGCCCCGTGGCGCAGCCGCGTCTGAAGGCCCTCGAGGAGGAAACCCCAGGCCTCCCAAGGGGCTTTTGGGCTTTTGGGGGGCTCAGGGTTTAGGGTTAAGCCTATAGGGCCTAGGCTTTAGGGCCTTTAGAGGTTGGGGCTGTTGGGGTTAAGGGACTTTGGGGGTTTAGGGCCTTTTGGTGATTTAGAGCCTTTGCGTGTAGGGCTTTGGGAGTTCAGGGCTTCTGGCGTTCAGGGCTGAGGGCCTTTGGGGCGGTTGTGGACTCAGGGCTTAGGATCAGAACTTGCAACACCCGATCTTGAGCAGTTTCGGGGCACAAACTTGGACAATCCAGGCGAGGCATGAATCCATAGGCCGGCTGCGTGAGAAAACCACAATACCGGCGACTTTTGTGTTTGACGCTGGAATGTGGGTTTGGAGGGGGGTTCCTGGGAGCTTTTGATGTTCGCTGTGTTGAAATTCTGAAAGGCTTGTATGGGCTTCGCTGTTTTTGAAGCCACTGTGGCACGGGACTTTCAACGCAACAGCAGTACTTGTGAGGCTCTTACGGGTTCTCAATAAGACTATTTACGGCACGGCATTACATCTGGCGTGGCCTGTCGCACACTCGGAGACACAAGTTCGCAGGCCCAGGGATAAGAGCCGAAGGGTTCTGGGTTTAGGATACGTCTCACCTTCACCGTCACCACGACACGGCATCGTGCTTGCGAGTTATGGAATGAGGACGAAGAAAGTTTGGGAGGATGAAAAGGTTTGGCTACAAGGCATGTCCAGACCTCTGACGTAGGAAACATGCCTGAAATCATCATGCTCCGACCCTTAGCACATTGCACTTTAGGGGTATTGGGCCCTGGGATTAAGGGGACACTATTGTTGGTGAGTCCTACCCCTAAAACACTTCATGTGCGGCCACCTAACCGGGCTCAACGCTGAACAGCCGCACACAGGCCTTGAATTAAACAGGGCTCAGGGTTTGGAATGCAAGGTTCACGGCTCCTAGGACCGGGGCTCAGGGTTTAGGGAATTTCCGAAAATAGGGGATCCCCGTATAGTACCCCAAATAATAGGATCCATCTTATAAGGACCCCAAAATAAGGTACCCCTAATTTTCGGCAACTCCCATTTAGGGTTTGGGGTTCGATCCTAAGCCATAAGCCCAGTGCATCGTGGCTTTGTCTCGCCCGGCGCACGACGACACTCCGACCCTTAAAGGGTTGGTTACTTGAAGCAGACGCCGGACCTTGGAGAATAATCTGGTGGTAGGATTTAGGGATTGGGGTATCTGATGTTGGAGGATTTTCTTGGTGGCTGAGTTGTAGATGTTGTAGGGCTGGTATGTTGAGTTTTGGACTTGATGAGCGGGCTCGGGACGGCGTCACCTAGACCACAGCTTTAACCGGACCCACTTGCAACTAAGAGGCATGCGACTACTTCACGCACCAAAGGAACCAGAAAGCAGGTGTCAGGTGGCGGAATCCCTACTACTACTACTACTGCTGCTGCTGCTGCTGCTACTACTACTACTACTACTCCTGCTGCTGCTGCTAGCTAGCTAGCTAGCTAGCTGGCTAGCTGGCTAGCTAGGTTAGATACCTTTCACCCCAATTTGCCCCTTAGGCAAGGCTTCGGTTTAAACACAGCACGGGCTGCGGCAGGTCTTGAGCCAGAGAGCCCAATACCCATTAATTAAGGAATATAGCTTAAATCATGATATGAAGCCCTATATAATCTAAGCCATATTCCTTGATTGAGGGGTATTGGGCTCTCTGGGAGCCTCTGGTTAAACTTGTCTTTGGGATCGCCTAAATGGTTTCTGATACTTTTGTAGGCTTCCGGGCTTGTGAGGACACATGTCAGGGGCTCACCGCCTAACTGAGCCCGCTCAGCTATGCTCAACTCGTGTGGCTCAGGTATTCTCACACTCTTGGGGCTTTGGGCTTCCGGTGCCCACGCCAAAAAATCGTCAACCGCGAATACAGCTCTCTCCCTCAGTCTCTCTGTCTCTTTCGTTGTCTCTCGCTCTTGCCGAAAGCCTCGCTAAACCACGAGCACTTCGGGATAGCTCAAACATCTCTGCTGCAGCCATGAAGTCAACTGATGATCTAAACAATCAGACCACCCCTACAACGTGATGGACTCTGCGGGAACTCTAAGGAACCAGGATTATTCGAGCGCCTACATTCAGCCTGTACCAACTCTACAGATCTACTACAGCAGCATTTACGTAGACAGAGCCAGGCGCCGTCTAAGACCCAAATTTACACGCAAAACGAAGCCAAGTGGCTGCAGCCCTCTGAGGGCGTAGAGCGATGCCTCCCAGCCCACGCCGGCATTGCTTTCGGGGTGTGCCTGGGTCAGCCGCTTGGGTGCAGAAGTTATAGGAGTTATAGGTTCAGGCTCAAGGCTCAAAAAGACTACTGGGGAAGTTCGAGGGGTCCCAGGCACTCAGGGGTCAGGATCGGGTTCCGCCCCCTTTCACCGTAAGAGCAGCGGCGTCGGGGCGTGAGGATTTAGGGCTTGAGGTCCACAGCTGACTGATTTTCTTGCGGAGGGCCCGAATCTAAAACCCCAAACCCCACCTAAACCCTCCCGGGCTTCTCAGCCCGCCAGAAACCCTGCTTCCCATCAAGGAGCCCCTAAAGAATCCTTTAAGGGATCCCTTAAAGGAGCCCTGAAAGGAGCCCTTTAAGGTTTTGGTGCGAAAGGCTCAAGTTCTTTGCCAGCATTGACTTTTGCCCCAACCAGAGCTGAAGCCCTGTAAATTTTTAAAAGAAAATAAAATTCAACAATTTTTAAAAGAAAAAATAAAATTCAAGAATTTATTGATTGCATCGAAACTTCATGGCTCTGAAGGTTCGGGCGCTCCCACTCAGACAGGCCGGGCGAGGTGAATGTAGGGGCCTCAATAATTAGACTAGGGTCTCGGGGCATACTGAACAATAACTAGTCTAACTATTAAGGCCCCTATGAAATTGGTCCCCGAAACTCGAAACCCTGTTCCAATTATTAAGGCTCCTGTGATGCTGGTGGTGGGTCGGCTGAGGTGAAATGCTTCCAGGCATAAACAGATTGGGGAAACCCTAAACCCTAAACCCTAAACCCTAAACCCTAAACCCCAGAGCCAGAAATTCGTCCGAGGGTTTCGGGCTGAGGGAGCTTGCGCTCCCGCAACTCGGACTCCGGAGTTTACGGTGTAAAGTTTTTGGGGAGTTTAGAGTTTAGGGTTTAGGGAGCTTAAGGAGTTTAGGGTTTCGGGTTTAGGAAGCTTCTGGTTTAGGGATTGAGGCAAGGCTCATCTTCGACCCCGAGCTGTTGTAGGATGCTGTCCAGCAAGGTCTGTGTCAGCACGGCCCCGCAGTTCACCTCTCCAGGGACGAGCTGCACATTGACATGCTAAAAAAAGCCGCTGCTGACGGGAAAACTCTTGCATTACCACGAAACGACCGAACTGAGCGTGGTATATCGAAGCTGTAACATGCCTGTCATGATGGACACTGGCCCATCAACAGCACGACCATCTGCCTTGCGGTTCTTGAAGGGTCCACCTGATGAGCACCTTCGGTTTTGGACATCCGGGCTTCTTGGTCCGGAAGAAGCTTCTGGCTCTTTACGAGGGAGGGCTTTGGCAAGGAATGTCAGAGTCGCGATGCAAAGTATGCCACAGTTGCCATCCACCGTGAGGTCCCCGTACTGGCCTTTCTGGACCTTGAACATTATTCTCCTCCCAGACTCGCAAAACACCGGACCTCTCTTGGAAGGTCTTTGAGGAGCCACTGAAGACCCTTAAGCCCCGGACCCGAAGCTGAGGGTTTCAAGGGTTCTGGGGGTTTGACAGCTTTGGAGGGTTGGGGCTTTCAGACTTGAGGGGCCTGGTGTGGTTTAGCGGTTCAGCACTTATTTTCCTCCTACTTTGCAAGGACGAAGCCCGCGAGGAAGGCTCAGAGTTTAGGGTTTACCACATCGGCCTGATCCCAAACACTAAGATGCACATCTTCTGCAATGAAATCCTCGTGAAGAGCCCTCTTGAAAACAGGGCTCCTGTCACAGCCCCTACTAGTATAATAAGTAGTCATATCCCTTGAAAGCACCTACATACTCATGCTTAAATCTACTAAGATTCCTGTTATAACCCCTCACCATATCAATTGACAGACCAATATATGCCTGCTTTATTTATTCCCTTATCATATCAGACATGTGTTCAAAACAGGCCCACATATGCCTGCTAGAATCCCTTATCATATCAGAAACGTATTCCCGCTCCAAGGCGCCACTTGATGTCGGATCTCTCCGCCCTGACGCGCGCGAAGGAGGTCAGAAGGCCCCAATGGGACACCGAGGCTGCCAACCTTGGGTCCAGGGATGGGGCTTTGGGGTTTAGGGGCGTTGGGGTTTGGAGTTTGGGAATCCGGGGTGTAGGGGGGGGGGGCAAGCCTAGACCGTACATTCTGGCAAACAAAGAAGGAAAAAATAGAAGAAGAAAATCCCACGGATTCGAAATTTAAGGGTCTAAAGCTCCCTCCTGATTACTGAGATGGTTGCAGGATCTAGAACAGCCCCCAGCTCTACCCTGACTGCGACCCCCCACGTTTTCTGTCGTCCCGGTAGCTCATAGCAGCCGGATCCCGTCTTCCACCTCTGTAGTGTGAGGTCGCTGTCCAGAAACTGAGTCACGGCACTCTGGCACTTCTCAAGGTCTTCCTGTCGGGAGTTTCTTAAGCTTCAGAAGGTTCTGAAAAGGTTTTGGGGTTCAGGGGTTCAGAGTTTGGGACTTCAGAAAGTTCTTAAAGGGTTATATGAGGCTCTGGAGGGGTTCTATTGGGTTCTCGATCGCCTGCGGACTCAGTTGCCCGTCACCTGCACAGGACGGCTGATCCCTGAACCCTACTGTAAACCCTCCACGCTCATTTCTGCATCTTAGTCAACCCTTTCTCCCTCCGTACCTTTTTTTGAGCAGGGACTGCAATGCACCAAGCCCTGAATCCCCTCAGCCAAGCATCGAATGTCAGCACTATGGCTGAGCACGTGAAGCGTGTTGCACTGTCTGCAACCACTGATCTGGGACTACTTGAAAAGACACGATCTTCACTCGATCTCGATAAGCATGACACATCTCACATTCATAAATATCGAAGAGATCACCCGGAAGTAAAAATTGAAACGACAAGCAACTGCCACAGAATTGCACATACCCGAGTAGTCCCAAAATGTGCGCACGCCAGGTGTGTTCAGAATAGTAACGACTGTAATACTGCCATCCTGAATCCTAGAACCTTTTTCTGCACAGATTTGTACATGCCCACCCAGCCCAATACCCCTTAATAACGAAATATACCTTAAATCATAATATCAAGCCTTATATAATTTAAGGTGTCATTTTTGCTTAATTCAGGGGTATTGGGCTCTCTGGGTCCTCGCTGCCCGACGCACCACCGATGAGATTCCGGGTGAAGGCGGCCCCTTTTGTCGCAAGGGGGAAGTCGGCCGCCGACTCGACGCAGGGGTTCGAGTCAAAGCCTGCCGCTGTGACTCGCAACTACCCAGAGAGCCCAATACCCTTTAATTAAGGAATATGGCTTAAATCATAATATGAAGCCCTATATAATTTAAGCCATATTCATCCATATTCCTTAATTAGGGGGTATTGGGCTCTCTGGGTAACTTCTGAGAACAGGCTCTTGAAGGTCCTGTAAAGCACGAACCCCACTACAGGGCACAACACGCGGTGCAAGGCATGTCGCAGCCATTACGTGCTTCTTGACGTGTGCAAGAGGTATGTGATCTTTCACCGGCGCCCTTCCTTTCTTCTTCCCTAGTCTCCTCCCTCTCTCTCTGTCCTGTGATCCTCGCTCAGGGCTACAGAGCAGAGTAGCTGGTCACAGAAGCCAACTGCACGCGGCATGCAGCCACGAAGACATGCAGTCCTAATGCAGGGGCCCTACTAGTTAGAAAAGGTTTTGGGGGTATACTATCCCATAATTGTACTAAGGAACCCCCAAAATAGTATAGGTAAGCATTAAAGCCGCTATACTAGACGTCAAAGCCTTTCGCAACCTCAACGCCCGAAACATCTCTGATCACCGGCAGAGACCGTGAGTGGCCTTGCTGGATCAAGTGGTTCTCAAACTGCAACCGCATCCTGGGAAACTTTCAGGAGCTTGGGTCTAAAGGTTCGGGGTTTAGAGTTTCTTACCTTTGGTTAGTAGGGAATGGAAGAATGGCAGTAATAGTAGTTATACTTGTCCCATTCCTCCATTCCCTACTAACCAAAGGTAAGGTTCAGGGTTGTCGGCGACCAGGTCTGCATTATGTCTGCATCGCACCTGCAGATGTCTGCCAGCACATCTTGTGTCTACATTTCGAGGACACTGCCTGTCCGTCAACTGGAGAAACCGTGCTAGCACAGCTATGTCCGAAAATAACACAAATCTCAGGCAAACTCAGACACAACCCAAGCACCCCGAATCCGCGAACTCCAACCCTAAATCCCGCAATACCCATACCGTAATGGTCGGAATAGCTGGGAAAAGCTTCCCCTTATAGTCCCTATATAAGTAAAGTCAGTACAGTGCAATATACCCCAAGAAGCCTATTTATCACGTCCAATCGCCAAGACTCTCATTGACACCGCCGACCTCATGGGCACAACCACCCTCGATGCAGGCGGGTGGATTTGTTCCAACAGCCAGGAAGGAGAACCTTGGATGCTACAAGGGTTACTTGAAGTGATCATAACAACGAGGGTAGCAGTGACGACCACAATTCGAATGACACTAGCAACAAGGACAAGAACACTAAGAGCAAGAACGGTGATATTTAAGGGATCTATAAGGGTTCCTTTGAAGGGACCGCTAAAGGAATCGATAAGGGTAACCGTTAGCGTCATGCAAGGGGCAGGGCCACCGGCTGGCCCCCCGGGAAGTGCGCCACCTTGGCCAAGGAGGGACCAGCTCGCCGGCTCCCAGGCGGGCTCTCCTTGATGTCCTCCCGGGGTGAGACATAATAATATCTAACAGTGATAAAATTAATTACAATAATGGTAATAGTAATAATCGTAGTAATAGAAATAATAGTAAGAAGAGCAGTACTTGTAATAATGGTAACAATAAAATAGTCACAACAATCGTAAGTATGGTCATGATAATTTTAATATCGAAAGTATGTAGGGGTTACGCGGAACCCTCAACTTAGGCCCCTGCCCTCAACCCGATACCCTAAGCACCAGTCCCCCAAGGAAGTCACATCTCCCGGCAGCTCGTCGCGCGCTTCGAAGTCCCCGTCGTCGACCTTCACCTGCTTCAGGGTTTCCGAACCCTAGTAGGGTTTTAGGCGTTAGGGTTTAGGGTTTAGGGGTTTAGGGGTCTAGGGTTTAGGGGAGTTTAGGGTTTAAGGCACCTCCCCATTGCCCTGTAAATCCCAAGAAGATCCACCGGCGTAACGAATCCAGAAACCTGGCTTGCATCGTCACGGCTTCAGGTTCAAGCCACAACAAGACCAACTCTGAATGGTCGACAAAGCCGCCTGCCTACTTGGAGACGAACTATACCGCCGTACGTCCAGAAAACAAGCTACAATTCACAAGTCGCATACATGGCCTTCTCAGCACACATGCGTGTAAGAAAGTCAGAGACCTTTCAGATTTCAGACGCGGAGAATTCCGAGCAGCAGAAGCAGCAGTGGCAGTGGCAAACACCAAAACAGTGATCATGATATTGAGAACAATATTGATATACACTAATAGTACTCGTCATACAGATATGGGAGTTTCCGAAAATAGGGGACCCTAATATGCAGTACCCTGAATAGTAGGATCCTTATTATAAGGACCCCAAAATAGGGTACCCCTAGTAATCGGAAGTTCCCATTATATGAACCACGAATGATACACAGCCACCGCACCAGGACTCGAGCAGCGAGACCCTGAACCCCAAATCTGTCCGTCTGGAATGATTTTCAGATGTTCGGATGCTTCATGTCGGGGCCTTAATCATTAGAACAGGGTTTTGGTGGCTCCTTATTATAAGTATAGTACAGTGTAACTCCAAACCCCATTCTAACTACTACAGCAGAAGCCAGTTGGAATATCATTATCGTAACCCCCCTTAAGGTAAATTATACGGGATCCTACCATTAATCCATATTCCAACTTTCTGGAGTTCCCTTTAAGGCCCCCTTGTCAGAGCACGAGCTTCTGCAAGAAAGCCGACCTCGTTGTCCAGGCCGGCGATGCAGTTCCGCAGCTGCTCCGCGTGGCTAGCCCAGGGGCTTGTGATGCCTGCGGTAAGGGATCCCCTAATTTGGGGCCCTATAGTACTAAGGGTACTCTATAGGAGCCCCCAATCAAGGGATCTACTTTTTGGATCCTTCCTGTTTCCAAGTATAGATGCCGTCCCAACAAATAGGGTTTGGGGACATATCATAGCGCCACAGGTTTAATGGAAGACTAGTGCTGGGATTCCCTATGATCTACCTTCAGGGCATGAGGATGAAATGTTCCAACTTTCTGAGTCTATTGTAAGAACTCCAAAGCGGATATTCCCAGAGAGCCCAATACCCCTTAATCAAGGAATAAACCTTAAATCATGATATGAAGCCCTATATAATTTACGGTATATTCCTTAATTTAGGAATATACCTTAAATCATGATATGAAGCCCTATATAATTTACGGCATATTCCTTAATTAAGGTCGTATTTGGGCTCTCTGGGTTCGGCAGGGCAAGGGCGAAAGCGGCAAGGATGGGAGGCCAAAAGGGGGGTTTAAGATTCTTGGGGTAGGGATTCCTTACTATGAACCCTATTATGGGAACCCTAATCCCCACTAAAACCCATAGGCTAAAACCCCTTTTGGCCTCCTATTAGGCAAGGATGGAGACCCCAGGATCCCCCTTGAGTTTGGAATTTTTCGTACCGCCGCGGCCCCACCTGTTTCTTTCAGCTGCTGCACAATAACATATGTCTATCTATGCCATAAAAAATGTATGCATGTATGTCTGTATGTATGTAGGTACAAAAAATACATTTAAAAAAAAACTGAGGGCTCCTTCTCGACTGAATCTTGAGCCTACTACTTGGCAGGCCTGTGTAGGTCTGTGGGTCAGGCGTACTGTAGGCTGGTGCTTCAAGAACTGATCCATCGTGAACTTCAAAGCTTTGAGGCTCAGGCTGTGTGTTAGAGCTTTTCCCTTTAGCTTTGGGGTTTGGAGTTTGAGCAACGAGCCCCGCTGTAGACTCTGCATACACCTTTTCATCCGAAACCCAGTCCCTATACCCGAGTAATAGTATTACTGTATTAGTATTGCTACTACATTATCATTGTTCTTCTTGTTGTTATTGGTATGATTGTTCTTATTGTTGTCCTTGGTGTGGGTTGGACCTTCGAAGACACTCTCGGCCAGGCTGCCAATCTGTAAAGAAGCTCCGCCGGCGCTCACGAAGCCCATGGGACCTTTCTTCATCTTCTGGTACTTCTGGGAAGCCTGGAGAAGCGCTCTAGGCCTAACTTTTGAAGGATCAGGGCAGAGGGCTCCTTAAGCGCATTCATATCACACTAAGGATCGAAACACGATTTGGTTCGAAGATCCTACTCCATCCCAGGTGCTTCAAGCCTCTGTAGGTCTGCCGGGATTGGTGCGGATTGCCCGACGTAGCAACCCTAATGATGGGAGGCCAAATGGGGGGTTTAAGATTCTTGGGGTAGGGATTCTTGAACATGAACCCTATTATGGGAACCCTAATCCCTACTAAACCCCATAGGCTAAAACCCCTTTTCTCCTCCTATGACCTAAGCGCTCCTCGTCCAGGGACATGAGGTAGGCCCCCATCTCATAGACGGCTTCCAGCGAGCCGGGGAGGGTGCGGCAGCCCTCGGTCTCGTTGTGCCTTGGCGCGCGGAGGAGTGGTTTAGGGTTTAGGGTTTAGGGTTTAGGGTTTAGGGCCTTCGAGCAGTTCTCAAGTCTTCGTCAGAAACATGAGACGTCGGCGTTGCGGCAGCAACGAAGGCACTGAAAGAAGCAGTGCCGATTGCAGGCCCTCAACCCGAACTCTGAAAAACAGTTGAAGTCTGTGCTTTAGGGTTTAAGGTTACGGTTCAGAATTTAGGGCTTAGGGTTCAAGCTTTAGGGCTGCTTCTGTTGAGGCTCTGCTTGCTGCATTTGTAGAGAAGCCCCTGTAGGCCGCCCCTGCTCACCGGCACGTCCCCAAGGCGCCGCACTTCCTGAGCTCTTCCTACTGCTAGGGTTTAGGTTTCGGGGCTTTTTTTCCCTCCTACCTAGCTTTCAGGGCTTGGGGCTTAGGGTTTAGGCTTTGGGGTTTAAGGCTTAGGCTTTAGTTTTGGGGTTTAGGGTCTGGGGTTCAGGGCTTAGCGGCCTTATTAGGCGTCACAAGGTGGGGTTTGGGTTTGGAGTCTGGGGCTTGGGGGCCTGAAGAACTAGAGTTGAGCCCCTCTGAGGCATACGATAGCAGAACTGTTCGGGTTTTTTTTTCCCTCCTAACTGTTCGGGTTTAGGGTTTAGGGTTTAGGGTTTAGGGTTTGAATGCGATTGCCTGGCATCACCCACTCCTCCAACCTCTATGTTACCGGCCCAACTGGTAGCACCAAGAGGGGCATGAAACAACGGAGCACCCGGTAGAGTCTCCGTGACATACTAGACTACAAACTTGGAGAAAAAAACAGCTCTGTACCCGAAGGCCTGAATCTAGAACCTGCGCCGCGGCCAGTAAAAGGCTGCAAGCTGATGCATCTTGCCTTCGCGGGGCTTTGCGTACCTCCAGTGCCTGTGCCCACCCCAGAAGCCAACTGCTTCGACTTCTTAACGACGGGAGATATCCCTTCCGGGGTTTATCGACAAGTGCCTCTTGCCTAAAGCCCAGAACCATGAACCCCCTGAAAGGACCAAGTAGAGGAATCCCAGATGTCAAGCCGCAGCAAAAAGCCTCTCTGCGTTCTCTACTTCCAGACGATGCCCGGCAGTCGACAGGATCTCCCAGGCGTTCCTGTCAGGGCTTATGGTTTAGGGTTTATGGCCAATCGCAGTAGGGATAGGGGTTTAGGATTGATGCCTTTGGGCTTTCGGCGTTAGGTGCTTGGTTGAAGGCCTTTGCTATCTAGAAAACGTGGGCCAACTAACTCCGCTGGGGTACATGAGAACGTGAGCACACAGACGACCAAGTATTCGAAATCTTGGTCCTGCGATTTCTTCAGTACCGCAACATAAAACCTATCGAAACCACAAGCCACCATTATCATCTCAATTCCAAGGCCCTCAAGGTCCAAACCTGCAGAACACCTCGAACCCTACGACACCACATGCCAAGCACCTGATAAACCCCTTTCAAAAACCTCTTCGAAAAAGGATTTTTGAACTCCGAATACAGGGAACTCCAGAAAGTTGGAATATGGTTTCATGGCAGGATACCCTATAATTTACCATAGAAGGGTTAGGATAATCATATTCCAACTTTCTGGCTTCTACCTTAAAATAAACATACAAAACCCGGTAGATCACCAGGGACCAGGCTTGGCCACCCAACGACGGCCGGGTTTCTCCAGCTCCTGCGCGAGCCTGGGAGCTGTGCCGAAGGGTTCAGAGCGTCCGGTTGTGGCCTTGCTTTTTCTTTTTGGACTTTGGGTTTAGGGCCTCCGGTGTTGAAGATTTTGAGGTTTCGGCGCTCACACTCGGACAATCCAGGCGAGGCATCTGGTTCGGAGTCTGCATCACTATTTTGAGGTTTAGGGTTCGGGGGTCAGGGGTTGTTGCAATCGGTCACGCCGACTGAACTGACGGGCGTAAAGTTTAAGGCTTCAGAGTTCAAGCGAACAGTGCCCAGTCCTAAAACCCGGTAGTTAAGCAACCTACTTAGATCTTTATAAACAGCCCTCCGTGAGTTCAGTTCGCACGTCTTGCTTGAAGTTTATTAGCGGTCATCTGTTTCTTGTGTGTGTGTGTGTGTCTGTCCGCGCATGGCGAGGCCCTAGGGTGCTTGGACCTTTGGCGTCTTTCCGGGAGCTCAACGGGCGGCGGGAACAGAAACTGAAACATATGAACCACTTTGATGGTGCTCGCTCATGGGCTCAAAGTTTTGGGCTTACAGCAACGGCCCCAAGAATCTGTGATGAAAGCCCGCGAGCTCCCGCAATAGTTAACAAGCCTGAGCCTACCCGAGACTCACCGAACCATCCCAAAACTGCCAGATACAACCCGGGTCGACTCCTGCAACAATGAGAGAAAGGCGTGTGGTTGGCCCACGCCCACAGATGTGTCTGAGTTGACGTTAACATGGTTGGCCCACCGATGCTCTGGGAAATGGATGATGTCTGAGCGGACGTTAACATGGTTGGCCCACGGACGCTCTGGGAAATGGGTGATGTCTGAGTGGACGTTAACATGGTTGGCTTACGGATGCTCTGGGAAATGGGTGCTGCCTGAGTGGACGTTAACATGGTTGGCCCACGGATGCTCTGGGAAATGAATGACGTCTGAGTGGACGTCAACATGGTTGGCCCACGGATGCTCTGGGAAATGGATGATGTCTGAGTGGACGTTAACATGTTTGGCCCACGGATGCTCTGGGAAATGCATGACGTCTGAGTGGACGTTAACATGGTTGGCCCACGGATGCTCTGGGAAATGGATGACGTCTGAGTGGACGTTAACATGGTTGGCCCACGGATGCTCTGGGAAATGAAGGACGTCTGAGTGGACGTTAACATGGTTGGCCCACGGATGCTCTGGGAAATGAATGATGTCTGAGTGGACGTTAACATGGTTGGCGCAAGGATGCTCTCTAAAAAATGGATGATGTCTGAGTGGACGTTAACATGGTTGGCCCACGGATGCTCTGGGAAATGAATGACGTCTGAGTGGACGTTAACATGGTTGGCCCACCGATGCTCTGGGAAATGGATGACGTCTGAGTGGACGTTAACAGGGTTGGCCCACGGATGCTCTGGGAAATGGATGATGTCTGAGTGGACGTGAACATGGTTGGCCCACGGATGCTCTGGGAAATGGATGATGTCTGAGTGGACGTTAACATGGTTGGCCCACGGATGCTCTGGGAAATGGATGATGTCTGAGTGGACGTTAACATGGTTGGCCCACGGATGCTCTGGAAAATGAATGAAGTCTGAGTGCACGTTAACACGAGTGGCCACGCATGCTCTGGAAAATGAATGATGTCTGAGAGCAGGTCAACATGGTTGGCCCACGGATGCTGGGGCAAATGAATGAGATCTGAGTGCACGTTAACATGGTCGGCCCCGATGTCTGAGTGACGCAGGGATGCACTGGGAAGCGCACTGGCCTACGGATGCTGTGAAAAAATTGATAAGGTCTGAGGGGACGTCAACATGGTTGGCCCACGGATCCTCTGGGAAATGGATAACGCCTGAGTGGACGGTAATTAACATGGTTGGCCCATGGATGCGCTGGGATATGGATATCAATCAGGTCTCATTGGACTTTACCTTGATTGGCCCCCGGATGCTCTGGGAAATGGATGATGTCTGAATGGACGTTAACATGGTTGGCCCACGGATGCTCTGGGAAATGGATGACGTCTGAGTGCACGTTAACATGGTTGGTCCACGGATGCTCTGGGAAATGGATGACGTCTGAGTGGACGTTAATGGTTGGCCCACGGATGCTCTAGGAAATGGATAACGTCTGCGTGGACGTTAACATGGTTGGCCCACCGATGCTCTGGGAAATGGATGATGTCTGAGTGGACGTTAGCATGGTTGGCCCACGGATGCTCTGGGAAATGAATGACGTCTGAGTGGACGTTAACATGAATGGCCCACGGATGCTCTGGGAAATGAATGATGTCTGAGTGGACGTTAACACGGTTGGCCCGCGGATGCTCTGGGAAATGGATGATGTCTGAGTGGACGTTGACATGGTTGGCTCACGGATGCTCTGGGAAATGAATGACGTCTGAGTGGACGTTAACACGGTTGGCCCACGGATGCCCTGGGAAATGGATGACATCTGAGTGGACGTTAACATGGTTGGCCCACGGATGCTCTGGGAAATGGATGATGTCTGGATGGACATTAACATGGTTGGCCCACGGATGCTCTGGGAAATGAATGCCGTCTGAGTGCACGTTAACATTTTTGGCCCACGGATGCTCTGGGAAATGAATGACATCTGAATGGACGTTAACATGGTTGGCCCACCGATGCTCTGGGAAATGAATGACGTCTGAGTGGACGTTAACATGGTTGGCCCACGGATGCTCTGGGAAATGGATGACGTCTGAGTGGACGTTAACATGGTTGGCCCACCGATGCTCTGGGAAATGGATGACGTCTGGATGGACGTTAACATGGTTGGCCCACGGATGCTCTGGGAAATGGATGACGTCTGAGTGCACGTTAACATGGTTGGCCCACGGATGCTCTGGGAAATGAATGATGTCTGAGTGGACGTTAACATGGTTGGCCCACGGATGCTGTGGGAAATGAATGACGTCTGAGTGCGCGTTAACATGGTTGGCCCACGGATGCTCTGGGAAATGAATGACGTCTGAGTGGACGTTATTGGTTGGCCCACCAATCCTCTGGGAAATGAATGACGTCTGAGTGGACGTTAACATGGTTGGCCCACGGATGCTCTGGGAAATGAATGACGTCTGAATGGACGTTAACATGGTTGGCCCACGGATGCTCTGGGAAATGGATGACGTCTGAGTGCACGTTAACATGGTTGGTCCACGGATGCTCTGGGAAATGGATGACGTCTGAGTGGACGTTGACATGGTTGGCTCACGGATGCTCTGGGAAATGGATGACGTCTGAGTGGACATTAACATGGTTGGCCAACCGATGCTCTGGGAAATGGATGATGTCTAAATGGACGTTAACATGGTTGGCCCACGGATGCTCTGGGAAATGAACGACGTCTGAGTGCACGTTAACATGGTTGGCCCACGGATGGTCTGGGAAATGGATGACGTCTGCGTGGACGTTAACATGGTTGGCCCGCGGATGCTCTGGGAAATGAATGACGCCTGAGTGGACGTTACTGGTTGGCCCACGGATGCTCTGGGAAATGGATGACGTCTGAGTGGACGTTAGCATGGTTGGCCCACCGATGCTCTGGGAAATGAATGACGTCTGAGTGCACGTTAACATGGTTGGCCCACCGATGCTCTGGGAAATGAATGACGTCTGAATGGACGTTAACATGGTTGGCCCACGGATGCTCTGGGAAATGGATGACGTCTGAGTGGACGTTAACATGGTTGGCCCACGGATGCTCTGGGAAATGGACGACGTCTGAGTGCACGTTAACATGGTTGGCCCACGGATGCTCTGGGAAATGGACGACGTCTGAGTGGACGTTAACATGGTTGGCGCAAGGATGCTCTCTAAAAAATGGATGATGTCTGAGTGGACGTTAACATGGTTGGCCCACGGATGCTCTGGAAAATGGATGCCTTCTGAGTGGACGTTAACATGGTTGGCCCACGGATGCTCTGGGAAATGAACGACGTCTGAGTGCACGTTAACATGGTTGGCCCACGGATGCTCTGGAAAATGGATGCCTTCTGAGTGGACGTTAACATGGTTGGCCCACGGATGCTCTGGAAAATGGAGGCCGTCTGAGTGCACGTTAACATGGTTGGCCCACGGATGCTCTGGGAAATGGATGATGTCTGAGTGCACGTTAACATGGTTGGCCCACGGATGCTCTGGAAAATGGATGCCTTCTGAGTGGACGTTAACATGGTTGGCCCACGGATGCTCTGGAAAATGGATGCCTTCTGAGTGGACGTTAACATGGTTGGCCCACGGATGCTCTGGGAAATGAATGATGTCTGAGTGGACGTTAACATGGTTGGCCCACGGATGCTCTGGGAAATGGATGATGTCTGAGTGGACGTTAACATGGTTGGCCCACGGATGCTCTGGGAAATGGATGACGTCTGAGTGCACGTTAACATGGTTGGCCCACGGATGCTCTGGAAAATGGATGCCTTCTGAGTGGACGTTAACATGGTTGGCCCACGGATGCTCTGGGAAATGGATGATGTCTGAGTGCACGTTAACATGGTTGGCCCACGGATGCTCTGGAAAATGGATGCCTTCTGAGTGGACGTTAACATGGTTGGCCCACGGATGCTCTGGAAAATGGATGCCTTCTGAGTGGACGTTAACATGGTTGGCCCACGGATGCTCTGGGAAATGGATGATGTCTGAGTGCACGTTAACATGGTTGGCCCACGGATGCTCTGGGAAATGGATGATGTCTGAGTGGACGTTAACATGGTTGGCCCACGGATGCTCTGGGAAATGGATGACGTCTGAGTGCACGTTCACATGGTTGGCCCACGGATGCTCTGGAAAATGGATGCCTTCTGAGTGGACGTTAACATGGTTGGCCCACGGATGCTCTGGGAAATGGATGATGTCTGAGTGGACGCTAACATGGTTGGCCCACGGATGCTCTGGGAAATGGATGATGTCTGAGTGGACGTTAACATGGTTGGCCCACGGATGCTCTGGGAAATGGATGATGTCTGAGTGCACGTTAACATGGTTGAAATGGATGACGTCTGAGTGCACGTTAACATGGTTGGCCCACGGATGCTCTGGAAAATGGATGCCTTCTGAGTGGACGTTAACATGGTTGGCCCACGGATGCTCTGGGAAATGAATGATGTCTGAGTGGACGTTAACATGGTTGGCCCACGGATGCTCTGGGAAATGGATGATGTCTGAGTGGACGTTAACATGGTTGGCCCACGGATGCTCTGGGAAATGGATGACGTCTGAGTGCACGTTAACATGGTTGGCCCACGGATGCTCTGGAAAATGGATGCCTTCTGAGTGGACGTTAACATGGTTGGCCCACGGATGCTCTGGGAAATGGACGACGTCTGAGTGGACGTTAACATGGTTGGCCCACGGATGCTCTGGGAAATGCATGATGTCTGAGTGCACGTTAACATGGTTGGCCCACGGATGCTCTGGGAAATGGACGACGTCTGAGTGCACGTTAACATGGTTGGCCCACGGATGCTCTGGGAAATGGATGATGTCTGAGTGCACGTTAACATGGTTGGCCCACGGATGCTCTGGGAAATGGACGACGTCTGAGTGGACGTTGACATGGTTGGCCCACGGATGCTCTGGGAAATGGAGGACGTCTGAGTGCACGTTAACATGGTTGGCCCACGGATCCCACGGATGCTCTGGGAAATGGATGATGTCTGAGTGGACGTTAACATGGTTGGCCCACGGATGCTCTGGGAAATGGACGACGTCTGAGTGCACGTTAACATGGTTGGCCCACGGATGCTCTGGGAAATGGATGATGTCTGAGTGCACGTTAACATGGTTGGCCCACGGATGCTCTGGGAAATGGACGACGTCTGAGTGGACGTTAACATGGTTGGCCCACGGATGCTCGGAAATGGACGACGTCTGAGTGCACGTTAACATGGTTGGCCCACGGATGCTGATGGGAAATGGACGACGTCTGAATGCACGTTAACATGGTTGGCCCACGGATGCTCTGGGAAATGGATGATGTCTGAGTGGACGTTAACATGGTTGGCCCACGGATGCTCTGGGAAATGGACGACGTCTGAGTGAAGGTTAACATGGTTGGCCCACGGATGCTCTGGGAAATGGATGATGTCTGAGTGCACGTTAACATGGTTGGCCCACGGATGCTCTGGGAAATGGACGACGTCTGAGTGGACGTTAACATGGTTGGCCCACGGATGCTCTGGGAAATGGACGACGTCTGAGTGCACGTTAACATGGTTGGCCCACGGATGCTCTGGGAAATGGACGACGTCTGAGTGGACGTTAACATGGTTGGCCCACGGATGCTCTGGGAAATGGACGACGTCTGAGTGCACGTTAACATGGTTGGCCCACGGATGCTCTGGGAAATGACCCCCGAGCTCATCGGGCTCAAGGCATATGGCTTCAGGCTCAAGGTTCAGGGCCTTGTCTTTTTTGCAGGCCCTTTTCCATCGGAGTTCCTGATTAGCAGGAGCCCGTTAGCCAGGACCCGCAAAGGTCTCAGGCTTTCAACTTAGGAACCACCTCTGCTGTCCCGCGCAACAGAAGAACTGAAGCTGTATCCCAGGCGAGACACCCGAGACGATCGGAGCATAATGCATCCCCAGAACAACTATGCGAAGAACAACCCCACCGTCATGGGGCGGCATATGCAGAAACTCGCCATTCTTTCCAGGTAGCTTGTTGAGCTCTGGTCCCAGTTTCGTTGCGTTGGACTTCGCGGTGAGGCTGAGCTTCACAGAAACGGCCTGATCTCAGGGGCCTCGAAAGGTGGGATGAAGGCAGGTAGGACTGCGGGTCACTTGCAATATAGGAACCTGATTCAGAAACCCTGTGTAGGTTCCTACATTAGAAGGACCCTTATTTGGGATTGCCCCACCTACCTTCGTGCAACCTTTAGAGCGCGTGGATCCCATCAAGCGCTAGAGTAGCAGTTTCCGGTGCATTCCCCACCTGTGATTTCCTGGTTTCTCGTTGAAGGATTTAGCTTTTTTTGCCTTAATAGGGATCTATAGTAAATAAAAAATGGCTTCCTTATTATTGTAGCTCAAATTAAATCCCTTCACAAGAACCCAGGTGATTTCATGCATCTGCACTGATCCCCGGGAATACAAGCGCGCCAAGGCTGCCCGAGTGATACAGGGGCTTGTTAATCAGAGCAGGACTTTTGGCAACAAAATAGTATGGTCGAGAGTTCAGGGTTTAGGGTTTAGGGCGTAATCTACAGATAGATAGGTAAATAGGTGGGTAGACAGATTAGATAGATAGACAGATAGATAGATAGCTATGGACTACAAGGGGATATGATTCCTTAGTCAATGGCAACAAAGTGGTATACTTGTAATATACAGACAGGTAGATAGGTAGGTAGATAGACAGATAAATGGATATACAGATGGGCAAGTAGGGACTATAAGGGGTTTGATTCCCTAGTCAATCAGGCTTGCACGGCTTGTGTGCGATTCACCTGAGAGGTATGGAGAGCCCGAAATGGGAAGCCCCGCTTAGTTAGCTTTGTGGGTTCGGGAAGCTACGCAGAGACTCCAATATCCCTTAATTAAGGAATATGCCTTAAATTATAGTAGGATCCCTTTTATGATTTAAGGAATATTCCTCAATTAAGGGATATTGGAGTCTCTGGGTAGGTTCAAGGTTCAAGTAGCGACTTTTTGGTCCCTAAACGGGCTCCTGAAGGTATCTATACGGATACTACAACGGTGGTTGTCAAAATTATGGTCCCTTTTTGGGGTACCCGAAATATTAGGTGCCGTATTATATTAAGGACCCAAAAAGGGACCCTAATTTTGACAACCACCCACAAGGGTTTAGGGTGTACTAGGATCTTCTATGACAGGACGCTCGGAACCCCTCTTCTGCTGCGATGGCCTGGGATAGAAAATCGCCGCTGCCTCCCAGGTGAACTTTGTGGACCTCCGCAGCTTTGGAGCGCCGGCTTTTGGGGTCAGGGCGCGGCATGGGATCGCACAGCTTGGACATGCCAGGAGGGGCTCCGGCAGAAAACAGCTAATAATCGAGCAGTCAGCTGAATAATAAGATAAAGATGATACCATCTCTGAAACGACGACTAAGCACACATGATGGGAAAGCACAGAAAGATAAGCACCATAACAGATGCGCAAATCAAGTACCCTATAGTGTCCCGGTAGGCTTATACAAATTGCTGTACTAGCATCATGTGTCAGCTACACACCAACCCCTCTCTTTATAGATACTACTACAACTGCTACCACCACCACCACCACCACAACTACTACTGCTGATGCTGCTACTACTACTGCTACTACTACTACTACTGCTACTACTACTACTACTACCACCAACACTACCACTACCACTACCACCATCACCACCACCACCACCACCACTACTACTGCTACTACGATCTTTACGAGTGTTCGCATAACAACTAGTAGTGCTATTATGATAAAAGTGCTGGGTTCCCCACCTTCATGCCCGAGGATCCCCAATCCGAGAAGTAGGTATCCTGGCTGGATCATAAGGTTTCACAGCAAAGTCAGCGGGAGTTTGGGGGGTCGAAGGTTTAGGGCTCAGGGGTGAAGGTTTCGAGGCTCACACTCACACAAGGCTGGCAAGGCTCCACATAGTCCATAGAAACTCCACTGATACTCGGTTTAAAGTTCCGGGGTTGGGCTACAACTTCGGGGACTAAGGTTTAAGGAGGTTAGTGAGACTTCCTGTGTGGCTTTCATCGCAGGAGTCAGGACACTACCTTGGGCTGCCCTACTTTGAAAGTCTACTTCGAAGCTCATGGCTACGTCACCGGATCATCCAAGTACGACAGTGCAGGGCTCAGGCTGGTTTTGGAAACGAAGCGATTTAGATGCTTTGGTTGACGTCACCAGTACCACACCTCTTCCGTCTTGCTTTGCGCACTGTGCGATAGGAGTCCTGATAGAAAGACTTTGCCATGCTGGCCGATGCACTCCTTTTCCCATGCTCGCTTTAGAGGTGCGCTGTAGCTCGGCTGCAGCAGAAAGAAACTCCTCCGCTCCCTGTTTGCATCCGGGCCTCCCGAGGATGTTGCCGGGTAGTGAAGCCGGAAAGTCTTTCAAGATTAGTGTTCTGCGAAATCCCTGCATGCCCCGCCCCTGAACCTGTCAACAAAGCCACAAAGCTTAAAGCAAACGACCACAAATCGTGCTCAAAACCCTGCACGCCTTGCCCCAGACCATCGTCTCTTAAACTGCTAGGCCCGAATCCCTCAGTAACCTGATAGAGCCCTCTAGTAACCCTGATGTAACGTAGACCTTTCGTAGATCCCTCAAGGGCACCTTCAACATGCCCTGAATATCCCTAAACCACAGGAGCCCTTCTACAATCCCTTAAAGCATCCCTCAAAGGAGATCCTTTAAAGGAGCCCTTACGGTATCCCTTAAAGGAACCCTTAAAGCAACATCTAAAGCTCAAAGGAACCCTTGAAGGATCCATCTAAGCATCTCTCAAAGCCTCCCTGACAGCTTCCCTGAAAGGATCCCTTAAGAGGAACCCTCAAAGCAACCCTTAAAGCATCTTAGTTTAGGGTTTAGTGTGTTTTTAAGATGCAGGGTTTAGTGTTTAGGGCTTAGGGTTTCCGTCAGAGGAACTCTGAAAGGATCCGGCAAAGAATCCCTTAAAGGATCCCTTGAAAAGGCTCCCTTAAACGGAGCCCTTAAAGGAGCCCTTAAAGGGAGCCCTTAAAGGGAGCCCTTAAAGGGAGCCCTTAAAGGGAGCCCAAAAAGAAGCCCCCTCAAAAAGGAGCCCCCTTAAAAGGAGCCCCCTTAAAAGGATCCCTGGTGGTCCTGGCAGGCACCGGAGTCCTCCAGCGAGTCGCTGCGCTGCAGAAGCGAGCTCGCAGCTGGCTCGGCTTCGGAAAGGGGAAACCTTGCTTAGGGGCAGGGGGCTTAGGGTTTAAGGGGGTTTAAGGTTTAGGGTTTAAGGGTTTAAGGTTTAAGGGCTTAGGGTTTAGGGTTTAAGGGGTTAAGGGTTTAGGGTTTAGGGGTTTAGGGTTTAAGGTTCAGGGGTTTAGGGTTTAGGGTTTAGGGTTGGGGGTTAGGGCTTGGGGCTTTGGTTTTGCAGTTTAGACGGTACGGTTTGGGGTTTTGGGCTTAGGGCTTAGGACATTTAATTTTGTGTTGAGGGCTTAGGATTGGGGTTTAGGGAAGCGCCGGCAAGGGCTTTAGGGGGTGTGTTTATAGGGTTTAATTCAGGCGCGCACTAATGCCCTTGCAATTTTTTGTGCGTCACGGCGAGGCTCGGGTGGATGAATCCCTAAACCCTAAGAACGTTTAGCGTTCAGACGGTAGGTGCCCGAATGACTAGACCGAGGTTCTAGCACGCGTGACACGAGAGTTTGCGCCTTGCTTAGCGGCGAATGCAATCGATGCACAAACATGGCATGTGTACGCGGCCCGCTTGTGTGGATTTTTGCTTGAAGCACCATGCGAAAAGTTCATTGGAGGGGCCCAAAGTAACTCGACGACGAGGCAATTGAGAACAAACAAACTCGAACCAAGAGGAGTTAAGCCGGAGCTAAGCTGCAGTGCCTTAAGTCACCCCTAATGCCTGGCATCCCTGGGGACCGGAGACTGAATTTCAGGGGCATTGTAGGGTAAATGCAGCCGGAAACCAACCACGCAGACCCGTCCGCTCGTTCTGACCATAGGCCAGCTTCTGGCTGCTACCTGCGGCGGAGAGAGTACTACTGCTGCCGCTAGTGCTACCAGTACTATACTACATTACCAGGTCCTCTGCTACTAGGACGACTGCCCCTACACCCGCCCCGTTGGTAATCAGAGAGAGCAGGCCACGCCTGCAGACGGCCCAGCGCGAGGATCGTGCGTGACTCTGATGGCGTCGCCCTTCTCGCAGCTTAAGCCCTCGAGCAGGAAGGACTTGGGCCTGAAGCTCCTCCTGCTCTCAAGGGTGGACCCTAATATAGTACGATAAATACTAGGATCCTTATTATAAGGACCCCAAAATCAGGTACCCCTAATTTTCGGAAACTCCCATATGGGGCAGCACAATCACACTAGGGTTTTAGGATCTAGGCCCCGGATTAGGAGCAAAGCCCCGGCCGTCTCATGGCTGGAGAACATGGAACCTGCAGCCGAAAGCCCGCTGTACCCCACACACTTTGTTGTAGAGCCATTATGGACTGCAGAACCATCAAAAATCCTCTTAGTAAGTAACTTATGAAGACCCTGTAGCAAACCCTATGGCCGGTAGTTGACCCGTTTAGCAACCCTTCTTGTGGTCTTAGAGACCCTGCGCCCAAGACCAGAAGTCCTTGCGACGTAGCTCTGTCCGAAGTACGAGAGCCCATCTTCATCCGACTCCGCTTGGATCTTCTGCGCCTTGGTGTAGGCTTAAGGTTTGCTAGCGTTTGAGGGTATGCTGAAACTCCGAGACAGGTTGTGGGACCCTCACAGCAGCCCCGGAAGAAGCCTCATAGTAAGCCTTCTAGAACCCTCATATATAGTAACCGTATTAGGAGCCTGATACTAACCCTTGTGGAACCCGTAGAACTCCCATAACATCCCGATTGCCCCATCCCAAAAAGGAGCCCGACAGTAACTTTCTTACAGCCCTACAATGTATTGTTTGGGTTGAGCGGCTGGAAGCACTTCGTCACGAAGGGCATGCGTGGTCAGGAGGGCGGCTGAGATGGAACATATCCAGCGCAGGGCTGACATGAAAGTGCCAAGGATTGGGTAAACGACTGGCCCGGCTAAAGGTTTCGAGCCATGTGCCTGCCGAAGATTCGACAGCTCTTTCTCTGAACTGGTATGGTTGCGAACGTTGTTATAGTCGTACCTGTAGCTGATGCCATGAATGTCCCCGCCACGCATTAAACCTCTAACGCGAAAGCCCCAAACCCTGCAGTCCTGGATCTTGAATGGTACTCTAACCCTGGAAACAAAAAAAACTAGGTCCCCTATTCTGACTTCCTGAACGTCCCTAAGGCAGATGAAAAAATAGCTTCTTTATGGGTGGTTGTCAAAATTAGGATCCCTTTTTGGGACCTGATATTTAGGGTACCCAAAAAGGGGCCGTCATTTTGACAACCACCCTTATGGCTCGGCTCCCACGCCCACGAGCTCCATGCAACTCTCCCGGCCTTTTGCCCAGAGCCGCTGTCAGCAAACCGGCGCAACAACCACTCGACCACCAGCTGGCCTCTAGGATTTGGCTTCGAAGGTTTTATCTTCGGGGTTTAGGGGTCAGGGTTTTCAGGTTCAGGGCTTGTAGGGTTTTGGAGTGTATACAAAGTTTAGGACACAGTGTAGCTTAGGTCTGGGGCCATTTCCGGATGCAGGCCCTTGAGGGTCGTGCGCTCTTGAGGCTTTCCCTTCACCCTACTTGTCGGGTATCATGGGGAACTAAAGGTTAACCTTTTTGGTTATACAGGGATAATATGTAGGCTATACTACCCAAAAAAGGTTAAAGGTTACCTACTCTACTACTAGGTCACATAACTTGATATGCAGTTCCGACAGCTCGCTTAGAGGCTGCTGAACGACCTTAAACCATTGGCTGGAAATTTCCACCACTCTGAACCCCTGCCATTACCTCTCACCCTGCAAGTCCTCAAACCCTTAGTCTCAATGAATTGCCCAGAGAGCCCAATACCCCTGAATTAAGGAGTATAGCTTAAATCATAATATGAAGCCCTGTATAATTTGAGCCATATTCCTTAATTAAGGGGTATTGGGCTTTATGGGTGCCCCCTGACATGCCCACCTTGTGCTGGTTCCCGATCCCAGAAGACGTGCCGAAGGAGGAGGAGGTCCGACTCGATAACCCTGGTGCCCCCTTGGTCGCACAGGAGGTCATTTTGGTGCTCCTTATTACGATTATAGTACAATGGGACCGAGAACCCTATTCTAGTTATCTTCTCGCAGGAAATGGCATCTTGAAATCTACGGAATCTACGGCCTCTGGACCTTGATAAGTTACCCTCCGCCTCGGCTCTGGGCTTTTCGGACCTCGACAACCGAAACTGTTTCGGCCTCGTGGAAAGGCACCCCTGACAGCGTCAGCACTGCCACTCCGACTGAAGCTCCACTGAACGACATCCATCCTGGCAGCCGAGTGCAGCAATCTTTGCTAGGGGCCAAGTGGCCTGCAGCGGCGGCAGCGATGCGCAGAAGGCGTACGGCCTGCAACTCACGATCAGTGCCAAAGCGAACGGAATAGTCGGGCGTTGGAAAAGACTTGGATGGAATACATAGAGAGAAGTGTATGCATGCATGCATGTGGGCATGTATGCATGTACGCATGCATGCATGTGTCGGTGTGTATATGTACATGTATACATGTATGCATGTATGAATGTATGCATGTACGTATGCATGTACGTACGCATGCACGCAACTCTGATACAAAAAACGTGAAGTTATGTACTCTGTCGTTCTGGATGGTATACTACCTCGCTACCCTAAACAAATCATGCATCCCAAATCCCCCAAACACCTCGCGCTCTAAACTCAGTCAGCAAATTAGTCGCTCGCAGGGGCATTGGGCGCTTATTTTCGGCAGGGACTTCATTGTTTCAGGACCGTTGTAACTACTACGAACCCAGAGAACCCAATACCCCCTAATTAAGGAATATACCTTAAATTATAGGGGCCTATGATTTGAGGTATCTTCCTTGATTAAGGGGTATTGGGATCTCTGGGAAAGCCCTCGTATTGCGAGTTGCCTTCGCAAGGCGACGGTCAGAGACTTCGAATCGCGGCTCTGCCTCCTGGACCGCAGGGCCGTCAACATTGGGGAAGGCTTTCGTTTCTTGTGATGATAAGTACACTATAAACTTCCAAACTGTTTAAGGAGAACCCATACCCCCACATGCACCTGCCATATCATGGCTGCATGAAGCAAGATATACGAAGCAAAGACTTATGGAAGTGTTTCATGGGCTCAGGGTCGAGAAGGGTGCTGCCTCGCAGGTTCTAGGCTTGGCACAGCATGCCCGAAGATGCTGATACTGATAATACCCACAGTAAACCAGATATGACTAGAATCAATCCCTACCAAGCCAGACAAGTACGGGCGGGACCAATCACTCCTCCGCCAGAAACTCACGCAACTCGGCCACGACCTCCAGCAATGAGTCCGGGAATTCCACCTCCAAAGCTGTCTCATTTACGTGTATTTTCGAGGAGCAGAAGACCCAGAAGCAACAGTAATAGTACTAGTACTGGTGCCAGCACGTAGCAGTACTATGCTCGTCAAAGACGTAGCAGTAGTCGTCGTCGTCGTAGTGGTAGTGGTGGGCGGTCCTAGTAGTACTAGCAGCGGCAGCAGCAGCAGCAGTAGTAGTAGTAGTAGTAGTAGTGGTGGTGGTGGTGGTAGTGGTAGTGTAGCGGAAGTGATAGTGGTAGTGGTAGTGCTGGTACTAGTGCTAGTCCTAGTGCTAGCGCTAGTGCTATTGCTGGTAGTAGTAGCAGCAGCAGCAGCAGTAGTAGTAATGGCTTTTTGTCACCCAGATGGTGTGCCTAGTAGCAGTAGTAGTAGTCGTCGTCGTAGTAGCAGTAGTAGTAGTAGCAGCAGTAGCAGTAGCAGCAGCAGAAGTAGAAGTAGAAGTAGAAGTGGAAGTAGAAGTTTATAAAAGTAGAAGTAGTAGTACTAGTACTAGTACTAGTACTAGTACTACTACTACTACTACTACTACTACTACTACTAGTGCTAGTACTAGTACTAGTACTAGTACTAGTACTAGTACTAGTACTAGTACTACTACTACTACTACTACTACTACTACTACTACTACTACTACTACTACTACTACTACTACTACTACTACTACTAGTGCTAGTACTAGTACTAGTACTAGTACTAGTCGTAGTAGAAGTAGAAGTAGAAGTAGTAGTAGTAGTAGTAGTAGTAGCAGTTTTTGTCGTTTTTGGCTCCCACTTGTCGGACTCACTCGGACTCCGCGCTGCAGGTAACACGTCGACTTCGGGAAGCTAGCAGAGCTAGTGCCATTACTGACCGCTCAGTTTTAGTCGTGGTAGTAGTAGTAGTAGTAGTAGTAGTAGTAGTCGTAGTAGTAGTAGTAGTAGTAGTAGTAGTAGTTTTTGTTGTTCTTGGCTCCCACTTGTCGGACTCACTCGGACTCCGCGCTGCAGGTAACACGTCGACTTCGGGAAGCTAGCAGAGCTAGTGCCCTTACTGACCGCTCAGTTTTAGTCGTCGTAGTAGTAGTAGTAGTAGCAGCAGTAGTAGTATTCTGGCAGCAGCAGCAGTAGCAAGAGCAGTTCAGTGGCAGCAGAAGTGGTAGCAGCAGAAGTGGTAGCAGCAGTAGCAATGGCAGTAGCAGTACCAGAGTAGCAGTGGCAGTGGCAGTGGCGATAGTAATAGCAGTAGCAGAAGCAGTAGTAGTCGTCGTGGCAATGGCAGTGGTAGTGGCAGTGGCAGTGGTGGTGGCAGTGGCAGTGGCAGTGGCGGTGGCAGTGGCAGCGGTAGTGGTGTTGGTGATGATTGTGACAGTGGTAGTGGTACTGGTAGTGGTCGTGATGTACTCTCTTGCTGGTGCTTGTGCCAGTCCTGGTGCTAGTGCTAGTCTTGGTGCTAGTTCTAGCGGCAGTGGCAGCAACATCACCATCGGCTATACTGTTATGACAATTATTACCTTCATGCTGCAACGCCTGAAAGACTTGATCCGCTAATGTCTGCCTTCTTCGCCCTCTTCTGCAGGTCAACTGAGTCCTGCTGGCAGCAGAGAACTGCAGCGTTGGAGGCTTGAGGTTTACGCTCTCGCAACTCGGACATGCCAAACGGGGTCTCACGGTTCGCAGCTCGACTACCATTGTCTCCCTATTTTACATGACGATACAATGCCTAACAACAAGCAACTCCCAAGTCGCTGTGGGACTTCGGTACTGCCGTTCCTATTGCCACATGACCTTTAGTACTCTGCGGGAATCATGTTGTGTGCTATGGGGCTCTCCGATGCTTCAGCCTCGATTCTCTCCGGATGAAACTGGATTTTTGGTGTGTGTTTTGAGAGCCGGGTCAAAGAGAAGGACTACGCGAGAGCTGTGGCTGGTTCTGACTTCCGGCACTACTTTGGGGCCGCGAGGTGTGCAGGGTCTGCGGAACCCCCAAGACCTCCATGGAGAGCAGGGGCTTCACGTGCGGCTGCGCGTCGCCGGAGGCATCCTCGGCATCCTGGCATCCCAGCGTGTCAGCCCCCGAGCCCCCAAACCCGGAGCCGGTGAACTCCTACTATTATCATGATTATTGTTACTGTTTCTGATGCTGTTGCTGTGGCTATTACTGTTTCTGTTCCTCTTACTCTTACTACTCCTATGACAAATACTATTACAAAAGAGATGCGGTCCCAGACAAAGGGTCTGGAGAGTGTAGAAAGCTTTTCAGGGCCAGGTGTTGCGGGAGTGGAGGCTGGGAATTGGCTTGGGGCCTTGTAGAACTTCACGGCTTCGGCTTCTGTGATTCTCCGCTCACAATTAAGGTTATGCAAGCTTCCGTGGCTTGTCCAGCTTCGAGTTTTTCAAGTTAGTGCTGTAGCTTCGGGGCTTTGAAGAAGCACCGCTCAGCGCAATCACTTCCACATCCAGGTCAGAGTTGAACGCCAATGCTCGCCTAGTGCACTCTCCGTATTAAAAGGAAGCCTTGCGGCCTGGCATCGCGCTCCAACACTCATGCACTAGATCATGCGGAAAACACGGCTGCAACTGCAGGCTGGCAGCGATGTTCGAGGTACCTACTCTTGATGCCAGAGCCAAAACTTTCTTGGTTGTTTTAACCTAAAAGACCTATGTTTAAAAAAGCACTGTGTGATCATGGTTTGGGACCTTGAACCCTCAGCTCTAAGCCGAGGTTCGGACTTCGAAAACTCTACCTGGCTCTGGGCTCAACCGAAGCGGCCTTCCGACTGGCAATATCGGGTCAACTCCCTCAGCCTAGAGAAGAAGGGTGCTGACTTGGACACAACAATGACACGCTAGCCGAACTTGACGGCCTCCTCCCGTTAACCGGAACTTTGGAGGTGACACACTTAATAGTGGCAGTAGCAATGGTAATCATGAGGGTCATAGCCACAGAAATCATAATAACAATAATAGTAATTACTAGTGGTAAAGAGGGTCCTCGTCCAGAGTGAGGCGGAGGAAGCTCTGTACTGACCTGCACCAAAGATTGAAGCTACAGGAAGCAGGAATGAGTGGTGTTTCGGCACAAGCTGCAGTGCTGAGGTGAGCAGCTGAGTTGTCTTCTGTACAAGGCCGGTTGAGTTCCTGCAAATACCTTATGACAGACATCCTCTTAAAACTTTGCAAAACCCTAGAAACAAAAAATAACAAAAAAGCTTAACAGAAAACACTACGAAACAACCTCAACTTTGTTTTCAGAAAAGCAACAATCACCCTCCAAAATACGATTCCTCAACCCAAGGAGCCTCTTGGAGATTCGGCTCACGCACCGGCGGAGGAGGAAGCGGTCGTAGAGTGCATCCAGCTCATCGGTGTCCTGTTTAGGGTTCTGTTTTAATACAGCAGGGTTTAGGGTTAGGGGCAACTCTGCAAGGACTTTTTGGGGTGTTTTGCTAGGTTTAGGTTTGGGGTTTAGGGCTGTAGGTTCTCCAGCATGCTGATTTCAGGTTTACGGTGGAGGATTAGGGCTTCGGGTTCAAGATACAGGTACACACGGTACCGCAACGGTTTCAGAAAGTAGTGGACACTGCCATGTCATAGACATTAAACAATCAGGGTGCTTGCTGCAAGGACCCATAAGTAAGGAAGGCACCCCCAGTTTCAGGAACTCCCGCGAAACGCTTTGCTCCGAAAATACATTGACGAACCAGCAAACCCGGAAAGCGGAGCGGTCCGGCAGCTCATTCGAAGCTGCTGCTGCGCACCATAGCGGCACGGGCACCTGAGGGCTATGGAGCTTCGGGGCTTGCGGGTTTCAGGTTCAGGTTTTAGGGTCTAAAGTAGAAGCCCGAAAGTTGGAACATCATTATCCGCATGCCCTTAAGGTAAAAGCATAATGAATCCCAGCATTGGTCATCCTAAATCCATGTTCCAACTTTCTGGGATTCACTGTATGCTGTTTGCGGATTTGGGGGCGTGCAGGTAAACGGTTCGTTAATTTCGGTTTTTTGCACGACAAATCTTCGGGCTCTGGCCTTGCGGTCTGAACAAACCATGAAGCCCGAGACCAAGAGTAGGATCTTAAAGTTGTCACTATCAGGATTGCCGCTGTTCGTGCCAAGCTCCGCACGATGCCCCCGAACCCTTCTTTCACCCCAGGCTCGAGGCAGCAGCTGGGAGGACCATTGGCCCTAAACCCCTGAGCCTTCAACCCAGGAACCTGTTCAACGTAGGGGGCCTTAATAATTAGAATAGGGTTTTGGAGCCCATTATATTATATATTTATCATAAGGAACCCCCAAAAAATAGTATTGGTAACTATTTAGGCCCCCATTTTGATTTTGCCTCGAGCCAAACCACTTGACATCTGCATTGGCCCCAACCAAAGGATGCTCGGGCGCACTCTTGCAGTCGGACCCGGGTTCTGGCTGAATCCGCAAAATCGCATGATATCTGCTATCCATCTGGCGATCCATGGATCTATCCATCTGTCGGGCTGTACCTTGACAACTTACTTGTTCGTTCTTCCCCTCCTTCGATACTCAACATCAACGACTGTGAAAGAAACAACCCTCCCCAACTTGGAAACTCCTAGCACGTCTGTCTTTCATGGGCACCCGTTGGTCGCCGTTGTCGAAGCAGCGCTCGTTCAAGATCATCAGCAGCGCGTTGAGGATGGAAGAGTTCGCCTTCGCACGATTCAGAGAAACGACGCTCCCCAGGGCCCAGCGCTGCCTGATTGACTACCCTCAGAATGAGTGCGGAAATCACTGGGCTGCGGTTTTCTCTGAAGAAGGGGGTGATTTCTGGGACTGTTCTGAGCATCCCCAGGCATGCCGCTCTTTAGTAGATTCAATAGTGCCTCGCCCCGAGTTTCAGCCGGCCATCGCCCCATCACCCCGTTTCGGCCGACCCCTAAAAACCCTTATGGATCCCTTACAGAACCGTATAGAATCCCTTGCAAACTTCTTTTAGAATCCTGTACAGATCCCTTATAGAATCCCTTTTTCCAGTCCCCTTTCAGAATCCCTTGCTGCCTTGAAGATCTCGTCGATGAACGCCACATCTGCCTCGGGAAGATAGCCTCGAGTCTTCCGCCGCAACTCGTCCTGGAAGTGGCCATGGGATCTCAAGGAGTCTAGAACGTTTCTTTAAGGTTTCAGTGCAACGGTTCTATAAAGGGGTCTAGAAGGATAGGAGTCTATAACGGCTCTATAAGGCGTTTTCAACTCCCCAGCCCAAGCCTGAACAGCTCAACTCAACCGATCGAAATCCAGCAGATCTCCGCAGACTCTCTTTTGTTATGCACGGACTTGCAGTGTATGCCGACAGCGAAGCTCTAGGGCAGAGCCTTCCTGAGTCACCTTAGGACCAGGAGACCTCGGGGATGCACACCTCCTTAGACTCTAAAACCCGCAACCTCTCGACGACTTGTTCTTCTCAGCTCCCAAACTCGAGGTCTTATAGTAGCCATACGATGCCCTTGTAGTAGCCTTGCAGTAACCGTATGATGCCCTTCAAGTAACTTTATAGAAACCGAAAATAAGGCCTCCGCAGTATGTAACTTCACAGTAACCCTTTAATTCATATGAAATGAACAGTCATATCTAGCAACCATGTCGGCATCTTGCAATTTTTGCGGGGTTCGTTTAAGGGCTTAGGGTTGAGGGTTGAGGGCTTAGGGAGGGTTCTGAGCTGAAGGGTCAAGGAAGGGCTTTGGGATTTGGCTTCGGGAGGGTTTAGGGTTTAGGGCCCTTGTAGGTTTGGCCATTCAAGTGTTTAGGCTCAGGTTTTCGATTTCGGGCCTGGGGGCAGTTCAAGGTTCAGGGCCTAGCATGAAAGTGTCAAGCCATGGGCCATTTACCCGGCAATGCTCCACCCTAAGCCCATGAAGTTCTTCTGCGTTTGGGAGAAAGGTGGTGACCTTGGGCCTTGAGAATGCTTTTGGTCGATCTCCGGCCGTCCTCTGGGACCGAAAACCTCGTGAGCAGGCGCTCGAAGAAGCTGCCCTCGCAGACCTTGCAGAAGACAAAAACGAGCTTGTCGAAGGCTTCCCCAGCAAGAATCTGCGATCCTTTCCTGGAAGCCGCAAAGACGTCTTCGTTCAAAAAGTGTCACTTCAGTTCGTCTCCTACAGTCTGAAGTTGTTACGATTCCTCACCAACACTCCGATTCCAGAATGGTAAACCCGTACCCGCAAAGCATGGAGCCTTCAAAAACCCGAAACGCGAGCCACGGAACCTGTGAAAGGCGGCGCGCCAGCAGGCTCTTCGCGGTGCCCGGGGAGCCCAAGAGGAAGAGGTGCTCTCCTCTTACGAAGCGCTGTAAGGACCGTGGGCTTGGACCATAAGGTTAGGATTCAGGGTCATAGGGTTTAGGGCACTTTAGTCTAGGAGAGTCTAGGATTTGGGCTTTCGGTTTCGGGTTTGGGTGTTTAGTCCTGTCTGGTGCAAGGCGGGCTGAAGTCCATGTGCCCCGGAGCTTGTGGGCTTTGGATTCAGTGACCGCTGCATGGTGCGAGTTGGGGTCGAGTGCAGCGCGAACGGCTTGGGACTTAGGTGTGGGCAAGAACTTCCAATATAGCCCAAATATAGCTCAAATGGGGAAGCATAGAGAGTATCAGACCAGTATTCCCCGCAGGTTCAATGGTGCTGTACAGCCTCGTATAATCGAAGCACAGGTTCAACTCAACGTAGGCAAACAACTCCCACCAATCCAGCAACGTCTTTTTTGATGTTGAATTCGATACCCTTCTTTACCCGACGCCGCAGCCGCGGTGCCTCATCCCCAAGACACCTCGTCAAAGCAATCCTTTCAACCAGAATCCGACCTTTCGGTGGCCGCAAAGCACATGAGACACACTGCACCCACCTGAGAGGGCTGCCAGTAGCAGCAGCTTTGCCTGACTCAGAGTCTACGGTTCGGGGTTTCGGGTTGACGGTTGGTAGATAGAGCACAGGATTGTTTAGAACATAGGACTGAAGACCTTCACTTCTGAGAGACCCTGCGGAACTCTGTAGACCGGCCTCAACGGAGCGTTCGACCAAGCCCTGGGTGATGGCCTCAGGGCGACGAGCCCGACAACACGAACGCGGGCGGTTTGGGGGCTGCGTCAGGTTTGGGGCTTTGGGGTTTAGGGAGTGGGGTGTTTTGCCCCTCGCACTTTGGCAAGACCAGGCGAGAATGTTCCGTCGCAAGCACATATAACGGCAGACTGTACAATCTTCACGATGCTCAGAATCTCGACGGACGATGGGTTTGGGGTCATCCCCCATGGGTTCATGGTGCTCATGATGGGTTGGGGAGGCAATAAAGTAGGAGGTTTTGGAGTACCTTGCTGCAACAGGTAGAGGAACTGTAGCCTCGACCACCTGCGCAGCTATGTGGGTACAGGACGTGTTGGGGAAAGCGTCTTTTCTTCGGTCGGCTGGCCGAAGGCACGCACAAACACGACATGCTTAGGAATCTTGCCGCGGTAGCTGCAGCGATGTAAAACTCACAGATCATGCGCACGAATGCCCATTGCAAGACCTGCTTCTGCACTCCTTCCCTCATGGTAGCCCTCTCACACGGCATCCCAGCCCTTACCTCGTGCCTCTAGTCCAGCGGGTGCACACATCTCGTCCCAAGCAAGAGTTGGTGAACTGTGACTTTCTGTAACTATTTCTACCTCCCAAGTACCACTGGTCGTGTGACTTCCAGAAGCCTCAATCAAGCATCTCCTAGCCAAAGATTCACTCTAGTGTACTTCAGGGTCGGTAACCGCCCACGCTTCCACGTACCACAGCATGTGCGCAGAAGCTCACCCAAGAAATACCACCCTGCATGAAACAAGCACCCGCAACACTGACTAGTTCTAGTGAGCAGCAGGGAGCAGCAGTGGCGGTAGGAGTACGAGAGTACAAGTGCGCGAGAAAGCGTTCGAGAGTACGAGAGTACAAGACTACGAGAGTCCGTATGAGAACCAATGCATTTTTACGGGCCAGTACTTCGTGCTGTTGTCGTGGTTCCTTCTGTCGATGGTGTTGGTGTGTTGCTGCAAGAGTACCAAAAAAGAACTCGCCATCGTCACTACCTGTTGCTGTCCGTCGTGCTTCGCACAGATAAGGTGTGCCACTCACATGTGGGACATGCATGCTGCTGCATGCTGCCTTGAAAGCCGCACCAAGCCCGGCCAGAGGAGTGCCCGATCGGCTTGGCAGCACTGCCTTTCCGAGGAAGGTCTACCCTCTGCAACATGTCAAGCACTGCAAGGCCCCTAAATATTGTTGTTCTTAAGTTGTTCTTGCCTCCTAAACCTAAACATGTAAACTATAGTGACGAAAGATTGCCACCACCATGGCGTCGACCGTTCGACGGCATCCTTTTGTGGCTCGCAACTACCATGCATGTTGTACCAAAATGTCTTGAGGCTGACTGTCCGCGCGGAGAGCCGCAACAATACGGTTTCAGAAGTTCTGGAGAACTTCGTGCGGCTAAGCATTAGGGCCGAGGCAAGGTTTCGCTTCAGGGACTACACACGACCCAATGCACGGGAACAACAAGAGCTCTCTAAGCTCGGAGGTGCTGCCCAGGCCCCGGTCACGTCTCTGTCGTATGTTCCTATGCCTGAAGGCTTCATAATTGGGGCCCCAAATCGTCGAAAGGAAACAAGCTCCACTCTGAATCTCGCAAGCCTGGATCACCCAGGTAATGTAATTGCTGTAATCATTAGAATTGGGCTCTGGGGCCAATTATACTATAATTACAACAAGGAGCCCCTAAAATAGTATAGGTAGTGATTACTACTCCAACGCCCCCTGGGCCCTAAGCCCTGACGCCAACCGTGACCGTGAGTTGGCGCCTAGTTTTTTTTTCAAACCCTCTCCGACGCCCGGGGCCGGGTTCCAAAATATGATTCTAGTATACTGGGCCCCAAAACCCTATTCTAATTATGAAGGCCCGTACCCTTATCCCTTATAGACCCACCTTAAAGGAGCCCTTTAAAGGGAACCCCATTCTACTTATGAAGGCCCCTATATCTACCCTTGTCCCTTATAGCCCCACCTTAAGGAACCCTTCTAATTATTAAGGCCCCTTTCTTAAGTTGGTGCCCAGGCACCGCGCAACGCTCGAGGAGCTCCGCCTGCAAGTTGTGAGCTGTGCACGGAGCTGAAAACATCGGAGTTTTCAAAAATTAAAGGTAACTTAAGAACATCTTAAAAAAAAAACCATAGGAGTTTCCGAAAATTAAGGGTACCTTAAGAACATCGTAAAAAAAAACTAGGAGTTTCCGAACATTAAGGGTACCTTATTTTGGATTATTTTGGGGTTCTTGTGACGGTTTACTAGAAGATACTAGAAGGGTCCTTTAGGCTCTATAAGGCTATGAGGGCTAATAGGAACTTTGAGTCTCACAGCTTCGCGGCGGGTCTGTTGGGATGCCCTAAGCTTCGCCGAACGGTGCCATACCAGACGTGCTATGCACATCTCAGCATCGCTCGTCGTGATCCCGCAAGCAACATCTCCCCTGAATGCATCAAAGGCATGATGTGACCTCATAAAGCATGATAACGGGGGTATTCGGCTGCTTGAGTTATGAGTGCTTGCACAACTTTGTACCACATTAAACCAGGATTCCTAAACCCACAAACATTCCAAAGACCAAACCCTCTGAACTCCTGAAGCAACTAGGACACCCTTGGAGTTACCCTTCAAACGGAACCCCTATAGATCAAAGGAACCCTGAAAGGGAACCTATATGGGAGTTTCCGAAAATAGGGGACCCGACTACAGTACCCTCAGTAGTAGGATCCTTATTATAAGGACCTCAAAATAAGGCACCCCCATTTTTCGGAAACTCCCATATAGATCCCTCAGCTTACTTTTGGTTAGTAAGGAATGGAAGAATGGTAGTCATAATAGTTATAATTGTACCCCATTCCTCCATTCCCTACTAACCCAAGGGTAAGTCAAAGGAACCCCGGAAGCCACGAACCCAGCGGGGAACCTCGGCCCGGCTCTCCGCAGCAGCGAAGAAGCCGCCCAGGCTGCGAAGAGCCGCCGGGCGCAGCTGCTCCGGGTCCACGCCTTAGAGTTTAGGGTTTAGGGGTTTAGGACAAGGGTTTAGGGTTTAGGGTTTAGAGTTTTAGGGTTTAGGGGTCTTAGGCTTAGGGGGGCCTCTTAAGGGCTTAGGGTTTAGGGCTTCAGGGATTACAGAGAAGGGTTTAGGGTTTTGGGCGCCCTGCGGGTTGAGGAAATTCCCACACCTCGTGCGGAGTAGGGATTCGGGTTGACATTAGTATCATCAATGGCATGACAACAACACTGACACTTCATAGTAAGTAGTAGAGTCTGACACTTCAGAGTAAGTAATAGAGTCTACTACAAATGATCCCTATTACTGTCATGATACTGATGATGCCAATGAACATGGTTAGAGGCTTAAGGCTTGCTTTCTTTTCTTTGTTGGGGCCGGGGCTTTGGGTCCAGGGTTTAGTGTTCTGTATGATCAAGCATTTATAGTGACACTAATACTAACATTAACAACAGTGAACATAGTAGGGTCCGCACCTCTAGCCTGTGGATTCGGGATGTTGGACTGTAAGGGTCACTAACTAAACGGCCTGCTACAAAGGGTTATACCAGAGGGCTGATGGACGATGGTTTAGGGTCTACTAACTAGAAAGGTTGTGACAAGAGCTCCTATAAGGCTTTGGGATTCTTGGGGTGTCAACGGTTCAACAGTCATTACAAGGATACTAACAAGGATACTAAGAACAGAAATGATAATGACGAGGGTCCACGACTCCACGGCCTAGGTCTTCGGGATTTGGGGGTAGGATTCAAGGCTTAGGGTTTAGGGGGTCAAGTTCGGGATTTTGCGATTCGGGTGCTTTTTTTGCCTCCTGCATTGCTGAACGAATGTTTGAATTTAGGGTTTGGGATTCGGCTTTAGGCGGCATCCCGGCTTGGCAAAGACGAAACCATTGCACGGTTTGGGATTAGGATGTCCGGCGTCGGGATTCTTGGCTTGCTGCAGTCCTCGATTTGTGAGGTGTGTGTGGATCAGAGTTTACGCTCTCACAACTCGGACACAGCCAGGCGAGGTTCTTAGGTGCGGAGTCAGAGTTTAGGGTCGAGGAAAAACTGCTGTCATGGTTTGCTGACGGAACTCAGGAAAAACTGGTGTGGACACTTCAGCAGGAGGATGCACACAAGACCATACTCTCTCTGCAACAGCTCTAAAGGGGGGTGTCGTTTGGGCTCAGGCATGTCCACGCCATTTGTCTGACGAGTGTCCTTGACAATCTTGAAAACCCAGGCTAAGGGTGCCATGGCGGTGATTGTCTGTCGCCCTTGCCCCTCTTGAAACGATGGTAACAATCGTGCTAACAATAACGACAATCTTGAAAAGAAGAAGAATAGCAACAATAAATGTTATAGTAATAGAATATACGAGTAATTCTAGTAACAATAATGCTGGCACGAATAGGAATACTAATCATACTAGCAATAATGCTAGCAATAATGGTAATAAGTATTGATTATAATAACAAAAACAAAACTAGTAGTAGTAATACGAGCAATAACCCAAAAAAATAATCCTGCCTGCCGCAGCCAGAGGCCGCCAGGTCTTCCGGAAGCGAGGTGCCGTCAGCGCCAGCACCAGGTGTCCCACCTCTAAGCGTTTGGAGCGAGCGCTTGGGGTTTGGGGATATGGGATCTAGGGAACGGGGTCTAGGGTTCAAGGATTATATAGGGTTTATTGGTTGGGGTTTGGGATTTGGGTTTAGGGTTGAAGGTTTGTGGGTGCTGTGATAGGGGGGTGCGGAGTTACGGAATGTTGCCGGCTCCATTCGTCGGAAACTCTTCTAGCCCTCGTCACTTAAAGGTTTCGACCCTCACGACTGGGACCAGCCGGGCGAGGCGTCTGAGCAACAATGACGCGTGATCGTGGGTCGAACTAAAAAAAATAATAAACACAGCCTTACTTGCTCCACTTGGCATGACCATATCTCAACGTGCAGTCGAATTCAATCACGGCTGATCATCAGTTATCAGAAGGCACGATGTGCAGTGATCCGCAAGCCTCCCAACCCAACAACCACCCCTTGGTGGCCTTGTTCGGTAGCGAAGAAGGTGTGAAAAATACACACAGAGTTCAACACAACTTGCATCATCATAGAATTGAGGGTTTAGACCTGCCAACGCAATCATCCACACGGATCCGCCGGGCAGCGCGTGGAAGCCGACATCTTGAATTGCTTGGGATGACATCAGCATGATCACCCCCATCATCATCGCAACATCACCACCATCACCAACATCCATATCAACATCAGCATTAACATAAACAACAACATCATCAGAACCATCATCTTCATCGCATATACGTGTCGTGTCACAAACAGAAACATTGAAAGAAATGGTGATAGCATATAACATGCAAAGCATGCAAACGACGATGGTAGCCATGACAATGGCAATAAATTTGCCAAGACGAATCGAAGCAATAAGCGTAATTATCATTGGCACAGCAAAATACAAGCAGACATTGTGACGTTACATTGTGTTTTCGCGGCGAGCAGAGCCCACCTTTGCTTCCTGGTGCTGCAACCGCGCTCGCTCGGCCTGAACAGAAAGCTTGGAATTGTGGGCTCAGGGTTCGGGGGTTTTAGGGTTTCGAGTTTTCTGGGCTCAGGCTTTCGGGAGAAGGCTTCAATTTTCGTGGGCCCAGTATTGGTGAGGGCTCCGGAATTCAGCGCTCGGACCTGGCATGAGGAACCACATTGACCATGGTACAATTACTATTACTATTACTATTACTATTACTATTGACCATGGCTCGATCTCAGATAAATCGCAATCCAAAGCCTAGGTCTTCCCCAAGCAGGGCTGTCCGCTCGGCTTCAAAGGATGAAAGATTTGCACTTCAGCGCTTCAGGGAGGACGTGGCCTATCCTGGCGCAATAACTAGTTCATGGTTGGGATAGGATGAAACATCTACATTTCTATTCCTTATTGGGTTTAAGTACCCATAAACGTGTGAAAAGGGTCCCAAATATGACAAAGATAACTTCCTAAGCCTTCAGTGCCTGCAAAGACCAGAGTCAGCCTCCAACACACTTCGAGACCTACTTGGAGGTTCATGGCTAGTTATAAGTGGGGTTATGGGGGTTCCTTTAAGGGATCCTTCAAGGGTTCTATAGGGTTTAAGGTTTAGGGTAGTTATAAGTGGGATTATAAGCAGGGTAACTATACTTATAACTCCTATTCGGGGACTTATAACCCTACTTATAACTACCCATGAACCTCCAAGTAGAAGCACAAGACTCTGGAAACGAAGCTCTGGAAAGCCTTCGCACCTACAGAAATCAACAGAGTCAGAACACTGGGCCGACACCCAACTACTTTGATACTACTGTACTAGAAACTTTACTACTACCCTCTTACAAGTATACTTCTGTACTACTATCCAAGCTCAAAAACACAAAAACTGGTTCGACCAATGCAGAGCATACAAAGATAAGGACAACCATCCAGGGATCCACACACCTGCGGACCTACAGACAGGCAGGCAGAGCAAAGGGTCACGGGCGGACAGAAAAACGTGAGATGGGAGTTTCCGAAAACAGGGGACCCTAATATGGCACCCTAAATAGTAGGATCCTTATTATATGGGCCCAAAATAAGGTACCCCAATTTTCGGAAACTCCCAGATAGCTGCTTATATCCACAGCCCACAGGAAACAACCTCAGAGTACCCCATTGAAAGTCCCTTCAACATGCCCTCAGGCCCCTTTGCATGCCCTGTAGAGGACACACATGGAGATTCTAGTCTAACTATTAACGCACCGATACCCTGAAACCTTAAGCCCCTGTAGGGGTCCCTTTCAAGGTTCCTTTCAAGGTACGTTTAAGAGTCCCTTCAAGGGTTAGTTTTGGGGTGGCGTTAAAGGCCCTTCCATGGGGAAAGTCTATCTATTCTCTAAGGCCCTAAAGGGTACCTTGCAGGATTCGTCGAAGGCTTCCTTTAAGGTCCTTCAATAGGGTTCCTTTACGGGCTCCTTTTGTGGCTTCCTTTCGGGTTTCCTTAAAGGCCTCAAGGACCTCTTCATTCTTAGTTGCTGAGTTCATAAGCCCCCCAAAAGTGTATACTTTCAGTTTTATAGTGGGTGGTACTATCACAAAAAGTGTAAAGTGTATCCACTCAGCTGCTAAGTCTTTGGAGGAATCCTATTCTAATTGGTAAGGCCCCTACATCATAGCACCCCTCTAGATCCCTTACATTATAGTACCCTTGTAGATCCCTACATTATAGTACCTGTATAGATCCCTACATTATAGTCTAGTAGCTTTAACGACCCAGAGAGCCCAACACCCCTCACTTAAGGAATATGGCTTAAACCATATAGGGCTTCATATCATGACTTAAGGTATATTCCTGAATTAAGGGGCATCGGAAACCCTAATCCCTATAGATCCCTTATAGATCCCTTTTAGACTTTTTACAGGAAGCCTCTCTGGGGACCTCCCCTTCAATCGGGAAAAAAAGGGCCTCCACGGACTCTAAGAGCTTGCGCAGCTCCGGGGCGAAGGGCAGGTCCTGGCACCACGAAGCTTCTTGGCTTTGCTTACTTCGAAATTCTAGGCGCGCTGGGGGAATTTCGGTGTGTTGGGGTTTTGGTTTTGGGGGTTTTGGGGTCTATGGGTGTTGGGGTTTTGGGGTTTAGGGGTGTTGGGGTTCAGGGTTTAAGGTTATGTTGTGGATCTTCGGGGGTTTTGGGCTTTAGGTCAGTTTGGGGATCTTAGGGGATGTGGTTCTGAAAGGCTGCCGGCTCTTGGATACCTGGTGTCCAGGCACTTGGTTTAAGCTACCGTAATAGGGATCCATAGTAGATGATAGGGTCTCCTTGTGACGGTAACTTAAGTTGCGTTCAGATCCCTTCATCTCAGGCTTACTCTCCGCGCATCTGCGTCCTTTCGGGCCAGTCCGTTGCATTTACGATTCAGGGCTTTTCTTTCCCACCCCGCCGACGATGTCGATTTCTGAGCCGCTGGCTGAAGAAGGCTGAAGTTCAAGTGCCCGAGCTAACTTATGCTAAAGTCCTTTAGCGTTGCAACACTGTCGCACCGCAGGGAAGGCTTCGGGTTGAGGGCAAAGTTTAGGGTTTAGTGCGCCAAACTTGCGGGAATTGGGCTTGCGAACTGAATCACAACCAGGTCCTGGTCGTAGTCAAAGTCGGCATCCTGTCTGACAGGGCATCTTCTCGTGTTTTAAGGGGCGAGTGGAACATTGCAAGCTGGGGCGCAAAATTCAAGAAACACATCCATACCCACAGGAATCTCAAATCGCAGGGGCGGGGGGGGGGGGGGCAGACAAAGCTAGTAACCGCCCTTTGATTCAGACACTGGCTGATGGACCTTCATGCTGAGAGCGTCGAATACTTCCAGGCACAAAATCGCAGAAGAGCGGAAACTGACTGCGTTAAATTACCTGGCCGAGCATACTCTAACGACATAGCCCTGGAACCCCAACCCCTAAAAACCCGCTGTTTTTCCTGATTTCGTCGCCTCCTGCGCCTTCTTGCGGATGCAGGCCTCGAGGATCTTCCGGGACCTTTTCATCGGGGAAGCCCCCAAAAAGGACTTTTAGGGTGGCGGTCGGGGTTTATAGGAGCTTGTATGGGTTTCTAGGGGTTCCTAGGGGTTCCTAGTAATTTCTAAGAGTTTCTTAAGGGCTTTCTAGGGGTTTCTAGGGGTTTCTGGAGTTTGAGGGTTTAGAGGCGTTTTGGTGTTGTAGTTGCTTTGGGGGGTTGTATAGGAGTTTAGGGGTTTTAGGGGTTTAAGGGTTTCTAAGGTATTGGAAAGGTTTTCCGCTCCCAGGGTTTAGGTTCCGGGTGCATAGAACCCCTCTAAACCTACGAGGTTACAAAAGCCCGAAGGGCTGAGGAAGGCTAGGGAGGGTTGTAGAAGGGGCATTAGGAGTATGTTTGCTCAAGGGCTTCATAGGCGCCAGTTGCGGATTTGGGGTTGCGGGAATGGGGGGTGTTGGGGTTCAGGGTTTAGGGTCAGGGACTGCGGGAGTAGGGCGTTGGGATTCTTGCCTCCCACATGTAGGGAATAAATGTCACAGGCTTCCAGGCTCTGAAAAAGATGGCTGCATTTGGGTAGCGCAGGCCTTACGTTGGCGCAACATAGCGGCTTGATGGATAGAACAGTGTTTTGAGCCATAGTATTCACCTGAAATTAGGGGCCAGGTTTATACCACGGATTGAAGAAAACTATTACTATTACTATGACTATTACTATGACTATGACTATGACTATGACTATTACTATTACTATTACTATTACTATTACAATTAAGAGTCATGGCTCGGCTTCGGACCGGTACCCGTGTAAGTCCCACCACCAGACCCGAAGGCCGAAGAAGCAGGAGAAGCTCTTTAAAGCCCAGGTGTCGGAAACTCGAAAGGCGGAAACACACCTCTCAAAACTCCACATAACATGCCTTGTACAAATAAACACCCTATCTAAGCTCTGTATACTGAGCCCGTTACATAAAGCCTATCAAACCCCTGCAGGAACCCCGCATAAGCGCTACACGAAGCCTATGAGATCTTGATGAAAATACGATGACTACCCTGAAACCTTGGAGAGCGTGGCGCTGGCTGGCCTGTCCGTCACCTCGCGCACCGATTCCTCTAGGCCCTCTTGGCAGATCTCCTCAGGACTCAAAGACTACTCAGAGGCTTCGTTCGGAAATTGTAGAGTTTTACAGACGCATAATGCTTGCCTTAGGCCCGCTCTAGGTGTTGAGTTTGGTGTGGGGCTTAGCCTAGGACAAAACAGCAAACAGTGTCATGCTCGGTCATTGTTGTATGAAGAGAGCGCAATACCCCTCGGCTAACGTGAGACACCTCAAACCATGTTAACAACCCTCGATAATTGATCGGCAGTTGCTGATTCACGTAGGATTGGGCTCTTTTTCATGGCATACCATACCAGTACTATACTACACTATACCATACCATACTATACTAGACTATACTACACTAGACTAGGACTAAACTATACTACACTACACTATACTCTACTACACTATACTGTACTATACCCTACTAACCTATGCTATACTACAATACTGTACAATACCGCGCTATAGTACACTAGACTGTGCTAAACTATACCATACTATACTACACTAGACTAAACTATACAATACTATATTACACTATACTACACTAGACTATACTACACTACACTATACTGGACTGTGCTATACTATACCGTATTGCTTGCGTGGCAGACGGCCTTCCCCGCGGAGCAGCGGAAGAGTCCGAGCAAGGCAGCCTGGCCACGCTGACGTCTTCTTCCAACATGCTTTGGGTTTACTAACCAGTGGTTTTGGGGGTTCCTTGGCTCTGTAGCTCCTTATTCAATAGGCACTCTCAGCATCCCTGGCTCCTTAGCTCCCCAATATCAATGGTTACTTTACCTGGGCTCCAAGCAACCTACCTTTCTAGGGCTCCCTAGAAGGAGTTCTCTATATAAGTCCTTAAACAAGTAAACAACCTACCTTTTTTAGGGTTCCCCAATATCTTTTCTCTATATGCCCTTAGACAGGTAAACATCCCACCTCTTTAGGGCTCCGAAACAGGATTTCTTTGTACAAGTTCTGAAACAGGTAGGTTATTTGGACTCGCACAAGGACAGGCTCTCCCAATTATGGGGCGTTTGACAGCTGCTGCAGATCCCCTCCTTCAAGCTTCACACACAGATCCATTGATGGATCTTACAAACATTTCAAGGAGTGCATCATGGCTCCGCCGCATGGCTGGCAGCCGCTCAATACCGGCAAGTTCCTGATGAAGAATGGCTCACATGGATACGGGATAGTTTATTCTTTCGGTCACTCCTACCTGTAGCCGCAAAGACCTGCCCTTTCAGGAACTATATACAGAAACCCAAAAAAGGAACCACAAAAAACGATAGGCCTTTTCGGCTACGGAAAGTCCACCCCATGTGAAAGGGTGCACCACAACCCGGGGCCGACACGATGAACCCAGAGATCCCACTACCCCTGAATTAAGGAATATACCTAGGGTTCCTTTAAAAGGGGTCCAAAAGGGATCTATAAGGGATCTATAGGGATTAGGGTTTCCGATACCCCTTAATTAAGGAATATACCTGAAATTGGGGTCTCTGGGAAGCTCACACATGGATGATTTGGCCGGACTACTGTGGATGATTCTCATGGTCGGCCACTATCATTTCAAGGCATATGGGAGTTTCCGAAAATAGGGGGCCCTGATATAGCACCCTAAATAGTAGGATCCTTATTATAAGGACTTCAATTTAAGGTACCCCCAATTGTCGAAAACTCCCATAATCGTCTCTATCACCCGTGCGATCGAGAGAAGGGGCCTCGGGATGGAACTCCACCTCGGTCGGGAGTTTCGGGTTTAGGTGTTTAAGCTTTAAGGGATCTTTCAGGGTTCCTTTAGGGGATCTTTAAGGGTTCCTTTAACGGATCTTTAAGGGTTCCTTGGTTTAGGGTTGAGGGGTGTAGGGGTTTAGCTCTTAGGCCGGTGCATTTGGGTTTCGGTCTCTGCGAGTCAGGGTCCAGGGTTCAGTAAGAGCTACTGTGAGGCTTTTAAGGTTGCTAAAGCGGTTGCTACAAGGGATACTCGGATACTGTCAGTGTGCCTTAGTGCTGTAAGGGGTTGCTGCAGGAAACGCTATAAAGGGTAGGGCCGCTTTGAGTAATCTCAGGGTGACAAAAGGGTTACTATAATAGCAGTCAGGGACCCTAGGGTTCAGGAACAAAATGGCTGTGGTTTTGCCTCAGCAGGTTGTGGTGGAGTGGTTCAGGGCTTAGGAATGTGAGTGGCTTCGGGCACCCGGACACTCTGAAATCCTCAATTTTTAGCCCATTGTTGGGTTTCAGTAAAGCCTCGAGGCGTTTCAAGTTTCCGGGCTCCGAACTGACAACACGGAAACCCTCACGATTGCACTCTGCAACTTCTCCCCAGGCTGAGACCTCCTTTATTCCGACCTTCAACTTGAGGCCAGGATACGGTCATATACTGTACTCTAAACACCACATAACTACACTTTGCATAGAACCTGGCAGCCTTCAAACCTTCGGGCCGAGAAGCGTTCCCAAGCCTCGATGCCTGGCAAAGGAGGTTTAGGGTTCGGGGTTCAGGGTTTAGGGTTTGGGGTTTAGGGTTTGGGGTTTATAGGGTTTGGGGTTTATAGGGTTTGGGGTTTAGGGTTTGGGGTTTAGGGTTTGGGGTTTAGGGTTTGGGGTTTGGGATTTAGGGTTGACGGTTTGGGGTTGACTGTAGGGCTTGGGGTTTCATGCTTGCAGTGCTCTATGAATCGCATGGGCGTGGGGTACCCCCTTTCCGGCTGCAACGGTGAATGCACTAGCCTCTCGTGAAGCCAGCATCAGCATCGACAGCAGCTCATCTTCGAAGCGTTTCAAGTTGTCCTGTCACGGCTATGGCTCAGCCCCAGCTTGAAGTACTGCCTGGAACCTCTGCAGCTCCGTGCAATGCAAAATATATGAACACGCTGCAGAACCACCATCAACAGACGTCCAGGGCGCATGCTGTGGATGCTGTGGATCCGACGTGCAAGCTGTGGACAAAGCTCCCAAACTTGGCAGAAACCCAATTTACCAGAGCTTCTGAAATTCCTACGCTCGAAAGCCTAACCAACCTACTGTAGGAATAATTAGAACAAGATTTTGGGGTATATCATGTTATAATTACATAATTACAAGGAGCAACCCCCAAAACAAAGTGGTAATTCTTCAGGCCTGCATATTTACCCCACAGATCTTACTAGCACCGCACCTCGGCCCAGCGTGCCGCCACCGAGTCTTCCGGAAAGCGGGCCGACTCCGGGGCTGTGAACCTGCTGGCGGACACTGGTTCCCAGAGATCCCAATACCCCTTAATTCAGGGATATAGCTTGAATCATAATATTAAGGCCCCCCTATAATTTAAGGCATATTCCTTCATTAAGGGGTATTGGGTTCTCTGGGTTCAGGGTGCGAAGGGAGGAGATTGCAGGTTTAGGGGTTCGATTTTTTCTGGCTCAGGGTTTAAAGGGGATTGCAGATTCAGGGGTTCGGCTTTTGTTGTGTGTCTTTTTTTTTTGAGCCCCTTTTTCACCCAGCAATCCAGTCTATTTTGTTGTGGTTTAAGATTTAAGGTTTATGGTTTAGGTCCGGGGTCTCGGGGCTAGGGTTTACGAATTAAGGTTGCGGGTTCACAACTCCGACAAGCCAGATTTTCGGGTACCTTTAAAGTGTTCCTTTAAGGGTTACTATAAGGGTACTATAAGGGTCCTGTGGTTCGAAGTCGGGCACGACAGGAGCGTCGTAAGGCACATGATGCTCCACGAGGCCGAACATTAAGTCCAAGAAACTGAAAGACAGACAGCCGTGCGGAAACCCCAAACCCTGAATTCAAACCCCATTTTTAGAACGTTGATGCCAGCTCAGTCGTTGTGAAGTCCATTACAAATCTGAAGGCAGTGGGCCTTCTGGACCGGAAGCTTTGCTTGCAAAGGGAAGCAGGGTCGAGGGTTTTGGGCTTAAGGTTTAGGGTTTAGGGGGCCATTGCCAGCTTCCCTGCAGCAACCTTCCGGCACCTTACAACTCTTTATCAACAAGCGTGTTGATCAATGGACGTTCTGCGGAAAGTCTTGCAGCACGTTGGAAAATCATCAGCGGTAGTCATTCAGCATCCGCCGAAAGTAATGACTGTGACAGCATGGATGCTTCTGCTGATGAATAGATCTGAAGCTGGACCGGAACATTTGCCTAACAAGGGGAGAAGGCAGCAGTCTTGTGCCTATACTTCCTTAAAGCAACTTTCCAGGACCTTACAAATCTTGGTTGAAGGACGCGGAGATTACAAGACCTTCGCGGCATGCAAAACGTGGAAAAGAACTCAAACATACTCAAACTGTGAAGTACAGTACAGCCGCCCATCTGGCATCCATGAGTAGCTCATGGCCAGCAGGAAGCGAAGTGTACCCGCAAAATTCAGGGCTATGACGGCTGCGACGTAGCAGCCCAGAGAGATCCAGAAACGTGGGCATCGGGGGGCTTTGGACGAGTTAAGAGTAGCTTTGTCAACTGGGAAGTCATGATACCTGTGTAGTGGAGGCCCATGCTCCCACAGACTTCTCTGAACAGCTTTAACTGACATCACCCCGACTATACATGCCAAACTCTTGGCTTCAAAGCTCGAGCTTCTCGTCCTTCTCGGCTTGAACGCCGATGGTCGTGGGCTCTTCACGGGAATTCTTCAAGGCCTCTTCATCTTCCAAGCGCCATTTCTCGACCATCCTCTGCATCTTCTTCTTAGCATGCCACACCATGAGGCTGACGATGATGGTCGCCACGACCCAGTACAAGATGTAGGCGATGATCTCGATAGGTGTTGCCTGATCCTGCCAGCCGAAGAGAGCTCGCATCAGCACGAAGAACCGATTCGTCTTATCGTTGCAGCACTCCGTGGCATCCCAAACGTTCACATTCTGCCAGGGCCGCTCGGATCTTGGACTCCACGTGCCGAAGACATCCAGCTCCTGGAGCTGGTGCATGGAGGCCGAGAAGAAGCCGGCCGCGATGCACATGAGCAACACGGCGGAGACCCGCATGAACCAGTCCACTTTCAGACCCTTGGTTCCCTGGAAGAAACAGCACCCAACGAGGCGTGCCAAGACCAGGGCGCTGATGATGGGCAGGGGCAAGGCACTGAGATCCTTCACGTCTGAGATGACGCCCACGAGGAACACGATCGACTCTAGACCCTCTCGGAGTCCCGTGGTGAAGGCCAAAACGAAGAAGGCGTGCTTCTTGCCAAAAGCCACCTGAGTGGTTGTCAAAATTAAGATCCCTTTTTGGGTACCCTAAATGATAGGTGCCGTATTATAATAGGGGCCCAAAAAGGGACCATCATTTTGACAACCACCCACCTCGCCCCCACCTGTGGCCGCCTGGGTCGCTTCGAGGGTCTCCTCCATCTGCCGCTTCATCTTCCGCTCATGGGCCTCCTTGGAGTAGATCATCTTGTAGAAGTTCACGGCGAGGAAGGTGAGCACGATGCAAGTGAGGCTCATCATGCAGAACTGGAAGATCCGCTCGTTGTCCCCATCAAAGAGCCTCGACTGAACTTGGACACGAAGGCAAAAATAAGAATTTCAGCTGTCCCAGTGGGATTCTAGTAACCAAAGGTGTGTCTTAGGGATTATAGTACCCTAAAGTATCCAAAACTATTTCCCAAACTGTTCCCAAGCATTCCCAGGGAAGAAGCTGGTTATAATACCCCAAAGTATCCAAAACTGCTTCCTCTAAACCCTAAAGCCTATTCCCAAGAAAGAAGCTGGTAGGTCAAGGACGCCAGGGCAAGGAAGCCCACGCCGAAGAGCAGGCAAAGAGCGAAGCCTGGGTTCTTGCTAAGAAATTTCAAGTTACCATAAAAAGGAATACCTAGGTTCCTGGCAAGGATCTATAAGGGATCTATACTAGCACAGTAGGGATCCATAGTAAATAATGTGGTTTCTTCTAATTTTTTTTGGCTCATGGTAACATAAATTAAGTCCTTTAACAAGAAGTGAACAATATAGATTCTATATTCTGTTAACACAAGTTAAATCCTTGAAGAAGAAGTAAACAATAGGTGGTTTCCTTACTATGGTAGCATAAGTTACATCCTTTAGGAAGAACCCAGAAGCCCAGGGAGGCTCCAAGGTAGACCTCGCGGCGGAACTTGTAGAAGAGACCCACCTCAAGGAATGTGGCGATGAGGGCTTCTTTTTAGGGCCTTGGGGTTTAGGGTTTCGGGGTTTGGGTAGAAGAGACCCACCTCAAGGAATGAAGGGATTAGTTTTTTTTGACGGCCTTGGGGTTTCGGCGCTCACACTCAAACACTCCAGGCGAGGCATATGGTTCGGAGTTCTGTTGGGTGAAACAACATACAGGGAGCTCTCATAAAGGGCTTCGGGTTTTGGGTAGAAGACACTCGCCTCAAGGAATTTAGGGATTCGGTTTTTTGTTGTTTTAAGGGCCTTAGGGTTTAGGGTTTTGCGCTCTCGCAACTCGGACATGCCAGACGAGGTCTCTTGGCATTGTTGCTCACTTAAGTTTAGGGTTTAAGGATTAGGATTTAAGAGACTCACCTCAAGGAGCTTAGGGATTAGGGTTCCCTCCTACCGAGGGTTGAGGGTTCAGGGATTAGGATTCAGGAATAGGCCCACCTCAAGGAGGCCGTCGTTCTTCATCTTGGTCAAGAATTGCATGATAATGGCAAGGACAATCACCACCTCCAGGCTCTCACGGAAGAGGACGACGAAGGCTGGCACCGAGAAGTACAGATTCGCGGGAGCCAACCTCGGCGCCGCGACCGTGATGTTGTCACGCAGGCCCGTCGCCTCGTCCACGCAGTCGCACACCTGGATCCACTCTACGTGCCCGTAGATCTCCGCACACGCCATGTTGGTAAGCCCTGGATGGCAAGCTTCGTCCTCTTCGTCATAGCAGCCCCACTGGCAGATCTTGCCCGTGGTGTTCGGCATGGCGTGGGAGAGCCACAGGGACGACGCCACCAAGAGTGCGCGAAGCATGGCTTGCTGGGTGAAGAAGCTTCGAAGAAAAAGGGAAGTCCACACGATCTCAAACTCGAGCCTTGAGCCATAGGCATAGCCATTTCGGAATCAAAAGCTCAGGGCTCAGGGTGCTTTCCGTCTTCTCCCTCTCTTGGCATGATGCTGAGACCGTGGGCACCGGGGTGGCTTTCAACACGGCAGTTGACTGCGTACTCGTACATCAAGAGTTTTTGCGAGTTGGTGCTGGCATGAGGAGCTATGGGATGTGACGCCTATGCTTTCCAAGTGAACTGAGTCGTGTAGAACAACCAGGTTGTCCTGATCCCCCTAATTTCCTTATGCTACTGTGCAAAGAAAGTTTGTGCCGAATCTGGCTGGTAGCTTACATGACATAAAGGATCTTTTCGAGGCATATGCATTCTGTGTGCACCCAGCAAGTTTGTTCCAACACACTTTCTGAAAATGCTCTATTCTGCTGTGTCCTGCTGTTGCAGCAGTAACTTTTCAATGACTCTTGCATTCGTATTTTCACGCGTAAGTATCACTGCTTATGTTAGTTGCCGGATTTCTAAGAAGTGTTCAACTTGAACCATAGCTACAGCTTGTGAGATTGTTGCATTGTATGGTTGGTGTCGTGGCTGATGTCCATAGCTTGTGTGATTTGATGTCCTACATAAGCGGCCTCATTTATCCTATTCAGGAGTTTGCCACCTGCAAACCTCAGGACATTGTAACCGTTCATTGCAATGCAAGCGCATTTGTCTCTGTTCAATCTCAGCCCACATCAAGCTGATACCTTCTCTACTTCCTACTTGGTGCAACACTTTGCTGCAAGCCCTACGCGCATGTTGTGCTTATAAGCGTGTCGTCAGCGTAATACACTCGGTAAAACTCGAGCCCTCAAAAACGGTGCATCCGCGTTCTAGCAGTGACGTGCGCCCTGGAGTCGTGATCCATAAGATGCATGACCAAAACAAGCAAATACGGGAAAGGAGGGCTGCCCTGTCCAATTCCTGCACTCTGAACTTTGGCTTTTGAGGTGCCATACTCCTTCTCTTAGCATCGAATCTTGCGCGCTTGAAAGTACGTAGTTTATGAAGACCTCAATACGGTGTTGATAAACGCCTTAGAGCTCAAGAGCAACAGATATTCTATCATCCCAGAGATCCCGATACCCCTTAAAGAATGAACCTTATATCACAATATTAAGGGACACCCTTCATCAAATCAGAAGCCTCACAGCAACCCTATTCATCATTTGTTATGGGAACCCGTATAGTAACCCTTATACTCATTAGATATTGTTGCTATCTTGTGAAGTCGACTGAAACTTCCATCATCAAACAAACCCAACAACCCGCGGAGAACTCCAAACCCAAGTCCAACCTTCGTTGACCGACAACCACCCGTATGAAGCTTGTTCAGCGATGCTTGAGCTAGCAGCTGCAATCGGGTGAAACATCGCCATCCCAAGTGCGCCGCTGCGAGATGACACTGCCTTTGTTGACCGTGTCGTCACTGCGTGCCTTGACGTAGCCCGAGCGCGACTCCGGTACCGGAGAGGCGTGCTCGTGTTCCGGGTTTGCCACGCGGGTGAACTGCGGCTCACCTTGGAGACCGTCCAGTCGACCAAGCATGAGCAGGACTGCCTCGCTGCCGCCCCATTGGCCAATTAGCACAAGAGGGCAGCAAACGATCTGGACCAGTAGAAGAGCTCCGCCCACAGCTGCTGCAGCGCACGTGAGCGGCCCGGCCAAGCAGGCAAAAGCCTCGTATCTCAGAACGATGTCTTCCAGTAAGCTCATCTGCCAAGCGTACCACTCGTATGGCTGGCATGCCGGAGCATTGTGTAAGAACAACGCTCTTGCCAGCTCAGCCTCCCCGATCAGTCCGCAAACGCAGGGCGAGAAGTCACTCTCACGACGGCACGGCGGCATGGGACACAACTCCGTCGTGCAGCGGCTGTCCTCTCGCTGCATGGGGCAACGCGCAGCGAAGTGGAGGCCAGAGGTGACCGATTCGGCCAAGACTGTGGCGCCAGCTCCCAGGACACCGAGCGACACCAGCGCAAAGACAGGCATTCCTGCTGAGCATGAACCGCTCGAAGGCGTTCCGCCAAGCAGGCAACGCATGGGCATCGCCAGAAACAGCAAACTCGCTAAGGGCCAAGCAGAAGCCCAGAGAGGTGCAGAGTCTCTGCAAGACCGGCCCAAACAGTCGGTGTCATGGAGAGAGCATGGATCCACTGCCTCTCGGCAGGGATTGGTCCATTGGTCAGCCATCACTCCACCAGAGATCAAGCAAAGCTCCAAGAGGCTCAAGAGAACGAGAGCGCACCAGAGCCTTCGAAGAGACTGCAGGTCATTGGTGACGATGGGAGATTTGCTGCTCGTGGGCTCACTGGACAGAGGACTATTCCGTGAACTCACCTCTGCACAGTCCGTCTCGCCTGAAAACCATACAGGCTTCATCTCAACCTTGACATGTTGCGGGCTCTTGGGCGAGATCACTTCCATGGCCCGAAAAGTGGAATCATCCAGTTCCATGCTGTTGCCAATGACGCAAGGCTCAGGGTCTTTGCTTGCCTGGATCAGGGGGCTCCTCTGCTTGGCTTTGGGTGGCAGTAGACTTGCTGCATCATCCGGATCCTTCGGCGCTGGGGGCGCCACCGGCTCCCGCAGTATTGATGGCTCGGGCTCCTCCACGGCCAGGTTCTGCAACCTGCTCGCAAGGGACCGACACTTATCTTCCCGCAACACGGAGGGCTCTGGCTCTGGAATGACCAGGTCCCTGAGTCTGCTGGCAATGGCTCTGAAGTTCTCCCCGCCAGCTCCGGCAGTGTCCTTGTCGAATACTGCAGCATTCGCAGCTCGAATCTTCTCCGAATGAACGGACCCCTCCGAGGATGTGGAGCTTGTGTCCACCGAGGACGTCTCGGAGTTCTCAGCAGAACCCGGCGCTTCTGACCGCTCCGTGCTGGGCGGAGATGCAACAGGGACTGGCCGCGGCATGATCCGTTTAGCGTTGACTTCGCTAAAAGACTTAAATCATAAAGAATGTTAAGAATTCTGGGGACCCGAATAAGTGATACTTAACCTTTGACGGTGCTTGCCCATAGTCCCTGTATGACTATAGCATAATGTAATCCCACAGCGTGTTCTACTTGAGGCACCATACTAGCAGCCCTGACCAGAGCTTGCTTGTGAAGACCCCCACCGCCGCGTTGAAGGTTTGGGGAATCAGGCATCCAGATTTCATGTGGGGGCCTGAAGTTTTTTTCCTCCTACCTAGCAAGGACGTGTTTAGGGCTTAGGGTTTAGGAGCCGAAGTATTAGCAATACTCTTGAAGCATGTGAATGGGATCTTCCGACATATTCAAGGACTCTGCATGCTCTCATCGTCACGCCTCCGGATTTGAAATTTGAACTTGTTGGCTTCAGGGGCAAAGGCTTCCGAGATTCGTTGCTATTCTTATTAGTATTGTACTACGATGAAATGAGAGTACTGCTATCATTAATACTATTGCTACTATTATTCATTGCGGGGCCCATCTTTCGTACGAGCGGAGGATCTTCAGCCTTCAGACGCAGCCGGCTGCGAGCCGAAAGGGCAGCGAACTTCTCTGGAGAGGAGGTGACAGTCCCAACCCTCAAGTCGAAACTACAGCACGACATTACGAGAACATGACGGCCTAAACCCCTTGAGCCTTGAGCTCTTGATATAGGGGCCTTAATAACTGGAATAGGGTTTTGGGGCCCATTGTACTTTGTACTATAAGTATCATGAGGAAACCCCAAAATAGTATAGGTAAATATTCAGGCCCCTACATTATCTGGCAGTCCTACCAGCCAAGACAGGGCTCGGCCCGCCTGGAATAGACTAGTGGAGGTTTAGGGTTTAGGGGTGCTCTAATTGAGGCTTGTGGAATCCGCACTGATTGTGGCGGACTTGATGAAAATGCGGCAACTTGAAAGGACCCGTCATCAAGAGAAGGCCCACAGCCCACGCAACACTCTGACAAGACTAGCCAAGTCTCTAGAAACATCTAGAAGCGTACCCCTTCATAACCCCTCCGAACTGAAGGGGAAGAAAACCTCAATGAACCAAAACATTAACAATCCTCCGCAGGTTATAAAGTTCATCCACAAGTTCTACTTGAACCAAACGGCCAAAGCGCCTCTCAACACACTACTCCAGTGTGGCAGCAGAGCTACAGGTTGACCTGTCGGGGTTTAGGGTTAAGTATAGTACCCCAGCAGCGTTCAGAGCCACTTACTACTAAGAACACGCTTGCGGCGCCTGCTTTGAAAATGCTTCTTGAGCTCGAGCTGTAGGTTGGCCTCCCAGCAGAGTCGACAAGTCCCAAAGGCTTCAAACGCTTCAACGCAGCCTGTGCCCGTATGTGGGTAACTCTCTGAATTAAGGTCCCTGTCAAATTTTTGGGTCCTTTTTATGCGGGCGCCGTAAGAAATTTTGGGGGCCTACAAAGGGCCCCTAATTTCGAGAACTACCCGTTTGGCCCAAACCACACTTGTGGGGAGCTTTCGGGACTGCTACTATAGGGGCCTTAATAATTAGAATAGGGTTTTGGGGCCCATTATCCCATAATTACAATAAGGAACCCCAAAAGAGTATAGGAAATTATTCAGGCCCCTATATTACACCGAGTCCCGAAACTGCAAACAGATGTGCCAAGCGTGACCCCTACTCTTGCCGGTGATCTCCCAAGCCGTGCAAGAACTTCCACAAGCAAGGGTCCTGAACTCAAACCCTCAATAGCCACACAGCTCGAAATGGCTGGCAAAAACCAGGGCGGCAGATCATGCACCGACTGCTCTCTGAAGTCATCGGCTGAGGATTCACCACACGCGTGCTTCTAAAGCCGAGATGCGACGCTGCTCCTTATCCCCGGACTATCTTGCTGGGTGGTGCAAAATCAGAACCAAAACCAAAAAGGCCAGCATTAGAAGCGACAACAAGTAGCAGATCGTTGCTTCTTGAACATCGGCCCTTTTTGTCCTGAAACCTCCAGCAGGAGGCTCCCCAAAGCTTGACAAAGCAAGAAAGATCCGAGAACCCTAACATAGTACCCGAACTAGTAGGATCCTTATTATAAGGACACCAGAATAAGGTACCCCTAATTTTCTGAGCTCCAGATCTGAAACTTTTAGACCCCGTCTTGTGCGACGCCAACCGACTCCCTGCCTCTCGCAATCGAGACCTGGGGTTGAGGCTCTTCGTAGGGTTTAGGGTTTAGGGTCTTAGGGTTTAGGGTTTAGGGTTTCGCAAGGTGAGATGGTGGACTTGAAAGTCTTGTTCGGGGTTTCTGCCCGAAGTTAAGATTCATTCGGGCTTGGGGATGTTGACTCTCACACTCGCACGAGGCGGGCAAGGCCCCACACAATCCCGTCATGCAAGACTTGGGAGTTTTCGGAAATTAGGGGTACCTTAATTTTGGGGTCCTTATAAGAAGGATCCTACTTTTGAACCCAGGCTCTATTCCATCACTATTAAGGGTACTATATTAGGGGTCCCCCATTATGGGAAACTCCCACTTCAAAGCGGCGGAGGATCTCTGCAGTTTTTGCCAGGGTTGAGGCTTACTCTCGCTGCATCCGTGTGCGTGTGAACTCCCCCAACGGGCTTGCGGACGTGCTCTCTCAGTTTCACAGGTTGCGGGAATTAAGTTAGCATACAAGGAATCTATAGTAAATAACATAGTTTCCTTATTATGGCGATTTAACTTAAACATCTCTTGAAACCCGAAAGCGACCCGATGGGATGGTCCTGCCGAAAAGAGAGCGCTTTTTCAATCCAGTGCTTGGGCTTCAAGAGTCGTCAGATCACTAAGTCACTAAAGTCACTAAAGACTACCTGCGTCGCAATGGCCCCTTGGCCGTTTCGAGTTGCTCAGCTCACTTTCGCGACTTCGTTTGTTGGTTGAGCCTTCGTCGGCACCGGCAGCTCGCAGCAAACCAACAACTTCGACGTGGCCTTGCTCAGACGATGCGATCATGGCAGTGGTGCCATCGTCATTTGCCAGATTCGTGTCGGTAGCTGCATCCAACAGCAAACGAACAACCTCAACATGGCCTTGAAAAGAAGATGCGATCAGGGAAGGGAAGTGGTTCCATTGTTGGCTACCGAGTTCTTGTCGGCACCTGCATCCAGCAGCAAGCGAGCGACTTCAACATGGCCTTGTTCAGAAGCTTTGTGGAGGGCAGTGTTGCCACTGCTAGTTGCCAGGTTCTTGTCGGCAGACGCATTCAGCAGCAATCGCACAACTGCAACGTGGCCTTGCTGGGAAGATGCAATGAGGGCAGTGGTGCCATCCTTGGATGCCAAATTAGCATCGGCAGCTGCATCAAGTAGCAAGCGAAAAACTTCGACATGGCCTTGAAAAGAAGATGCGATCAGGGAAGTGGTTCCATTGTTGTCTGCCAAGTTCCTGTCTGCAGCTGCATCCAACAGCAAACGAACCACCTCAACGAGGTTGAGAAAAGAAGCTGCGTACAGGGCAGTCATGCCGTTGCTGTCTGCCATGTTCTTGTCGGCAGCTGCATCGAGCAGCAAACGAAGGACTTCGATGTGGCCTTGATCAGAAGCCGCCATGAGGGCAGTGGTGCCATTGTTGGCTACCAAATTTTTGTCGGCACCTGCATCCAGCAGCAAACGAGCGACTTCAACGTGGCCTTGGTCAGAAGCTGCGTACAGGGCAGTTTCGCCATTGTTGGTTGCCATGTTCTTGTCGGCACCGCCATCCAGCAGCAACCGCAGAACTTCAACGTGGCCTTGCTGGGAAGAAGCGATGAGGGCAGTGATGCCATCGTTGGATGCCAAGTTCGGGTCAGCAGCTGCCCCAAGTAGCAATCGAACCACTTCGGTGTGACCTTGCTCGGACGAGGCGATCACAGCAGTGGTCCGTCGTCATGTACCAGATGCTTGTCGGCAGCTGCATCAAGCAGCAATTGAACAACTCCAACGTGGCCTTGACAAGAAGCTGCGATCAGGGGACGTCTGCCCAGTGTGTTGGCCATGTCTGGATTTTGGGGCAGCTGCAGCAGTGCCTCAACCTGCGAGTGTTTAAACTTGAGGTCTCCCAGGAAGTCGTTCCTAACTTTGGGATTCAGGCTTCCAGGTAAAGAGGGACAATTTGGAAAGACAAACCTCTAGGCTTTATTTACGGCTTTAAGGTAAGCTCCTCAGATGTGGAGCCGTTCATGGCGGCCGTCACCAGCTCATCTGCTTGTGTCGGGGATGCAGCAGAATATGCAAGCAGGACGAGCTCCAAGTCCATGGTTGAATGCAGCTTGACAGAATCGTCCAAGGGATTGCCACTAAGAAGCAGCCTTTGTCTGAATCGCGTCGGAAAGCCGTGCACCTGATGCAGGTGTAGCTTCAATTCCCCCACGTCGGTCAACTCTCCCACCGGTATGTTGGCCACCTCTTCCCCTGACAGCATCCTGACATGCAGCATTGCAGTGGGAGACTGAGCGCCACGAACGATTTCAGGCTACCGGCCGATTCGCTACTGCTCCTGCCGATGAAGTTCAAACAGAACGCAACCCTACCTGGTTTCTTTCCTTTACCTACTCAGGCCTGGTCCAGTCATCGCCAGTTGATTAAACAAAGCTTTCCTCTATGAGTGTTCTCCATGGTAGTGCATGCTGTATTGGCAATGCAGTCCAACAACATCTCCTCTTCTGAACCAATGGGAGATGGCTCCAGGCTTACCAGCTTACCGCATTGCAGTGGCAGGTTCAGATTTGGCTTTCCAACGCGATCGACACTCAAAGCGCAAGCCCTGTAAACCCGCACATGCATAGGTACCGCACGAACTTCTGCTGTTCTTTGTGGCTCTTCATGTTTCGAGGCTTCGTGTTTGCGTTATGGTGGAGGTGTTTTGCTTCGGAGCTCAACCTCCACCCTTAATATAGGGGCCTGAATAATTCCCAATACTAGTGTGGGGATTCCTTATTATGGCTATAGCATAATATACCCCAAAACATAT